CATATATAAGTGAACAATATGGTTTTAAATTAGATCTTTAGGCTTTACTCTAATTTACATAGACTTATATATTTTGTTATCATTATAATCATCGTTATTAATTTCGTTCAAAACATTTACCACATTATTATTATTTGATCACAAAATCACCGTCATTGGTTAAAAATTTTTATATATAAGTTTATGTAAATTAGAGTGAAGCCTGAAGAAGATCTAATTCATTCAAAGTCAAAGTCAAAAGAAGCCCCCCGAAAACGGTTAGCTATCGTATATTTTGCACTGCCCGATGCCTTAGTGATTAGGATGAGAAACCCTGATTTATGTACACAGAAGAAACTTCTTCATCCCCTCCTTCTACCTTGGGTATAATTCCAAGGTCGACTGCTTTGCTACTAATACTATTTTTGAATTTTTTTGTATGACATCTTTATCTTAACCAACCCATTATTTACTCTTTCTACCTATTACGTAATTTATCTTGGACATGTGTCTCCATTAACATCCTAGTTCATATTACGTAACCCTTGTCAATACTTACCAATCTTCACCGCCCCCCCTTAGTTACAATTTTGATTATTCATCACATTTTAGAAACATTTTGATGACGTAAACAATAACCCAAACTAATTTTTATGTTTGTTTGAAAATTTTAATGTAGACACACACACACACGCAGACATTACACATTTGCTTACTTGAACAATTAAATCCAATCCTAATGTCCCCATAGGGATAGCTTTAAATTGTATCGGTGATGGTCGAATGAAACCAGCATCTTGAAGTCCACGTAGAACCGGTTTAGATAATTGCAGATTAGTAAAATGTATATTATTAATACTAATTTTACACTTTTTATTTGATGTATTACAGCCATCATCATCCTCATCATCGTCATCCTCGTCATCGACTTCAAAAATATCAGCAGTTCGTTCTTCTTGTTTATTGGTTATATCATGCGCCAAACATGGAATATCGGTGTCGTCTACTGCTGCATCACCATTTGAAGTATTCAATGTTTCAATATTGTCATTCGATTTATTCTTTATCTCCTTATTCATATCTAGTTAGATTGAAAATTGTAAATAATATATAAGAAAGGGTAGAAAATAAGTCAGACAACTTTATTATGTATTCTAGGAAATAATATACTGCAAGATAAGTCTATATGCATAAAAGTAATATAAATGCTAATATTGTTTATTTTATTCCTTTACGTTCCCAGTATGGAACAGAGGGCTTTGAGCTAGGGGCTTAAAGTACCAGTAGCAGTGGTATTTATTATTACGGGATGGAGGAGGTTACTAGCCGCATGCACAGCCCTTCCCTCTTTACTAGTCTTATTGTAACGACAGAAGACAAGGGCCAGGCAACAGGTCGTTTATTGAGAAAATCAACAGATATTTATAGATTTTTATGTACATTATTGTCAGTGGAGAAGCAACGTCTTCTGATTGGTTGTTTTCTTGTTGAAGGTTATTCTGTACTGCTTGTGACCGTTTCTTAGAAAGTTAAGCCATATATCTGCGAATCGTATTTGCACACTTTAAGTCTGCTGTGATTGGTTGGTGAGTTCCTCAAGGTTAAGCTTTGTTATTGGTTTTTTCTCTCATGATCCCGATTCAGGACGTAAACATTGACGTAAGTTGTTGTCTACAATTTTGGCTAGCAGATAGCTTTTACCACATTATTACTGGCTTAGCAAGGTGTAGGAGTGCGTCTGTGGCCAGGGATCGAACTCCGAACCAAACGAGGCGTGGTTGGCGAGTATTCTATACCGATGTGCCACCGACGTACATAAATGCTAATAGACGATACAATGTCAATTCCTTAATATCTTGCTTACTTACTGCTAGCCACATTTTTAATAAAGGTAACAATTATTGACAAGTTTGGTATCATACACTAGGAATCTGTAAAAATACACGTTTGTCTGAGTCATTTCATCTAAGTAACTGTACCTACCAAGTGTTCAAGCTTTGGGAAGAATAAACTGTAAGATACCAATGAATTAGTTTAATTTTATACATGCACATTCTACAATGTTTATTGTTTTTTTTTCATTACAGTTTGATTTCACACCGTATTTTTTGGTACAGGTATGGAATTTTCAGCAAGTGATATCGGTAGCCCAAATTTTGCAGGCCAACCATAGATATCAGGTGTGCGTCGGAAGGGGATCGAACCCAGGACCATGTGCATGGTCGGCGAGAGTCCTAACCACTGTGCCACCGACGCACAGTTGCTATTGCTATCACAGTTGCATAAGAATCCCTAAGGATAGGAATTACGATACAACAAGATGAAAAACTAATATTTTCATTCCGTCGATAGGATTGTGGATTCATTTTATTGTTAGATTTTATCACGGACCAAAATCAGTTAGGGTGAGTGATTGTCAACAAGCGTGGCCTCGTAACCGGAAGGTCCCGAGTTCGATCTCCGGCGGGGTCGTGGGTGTACACTGTTGAAGAGTCCCACAACAGGATGAGACAACTGTCCAGTGCACCTTGGCTTTCAATAATCTCTCTGACTGATGTTGGCCGTTGACAAAAATCTAACAATTGAAATTAGTATGTTTATTGTTTATTCGAGTCCTTTCAGTGGTAAGAATTCAAAAGAATTGAACTGTATTTGGCTAACGTATTTCAACGATATATCTGACTACTCCGTAGTCGATGTATATTACATCTCATAACACACACCGTCTAGTAAGCGCCTTAACAGTTGGTCAGTGTTATTGATATGGGGTATGATGTATGCAACATCAAGTACACCAGTACTGACCTGTGTTCCTAGGGTTAGTTCTGAGGTCGAGAAAGTGTTACAGGATTTTATCATGACCTGACATTGGTTAGAGAACCATTGGAAAACCTGGGAGTATTGGACAGCTGTTTTATCCTAGTTTGGGACTCTTCATCAGTACACACTCAGCAGGGTTCGAACCTAGGTTATGTTGAAAGTTTAAGTTGGCAATGGGGGGGGGCGCTTATTATACTACCCAGAGTGAATTAGAGAGGGATGCGATTTGAACCTGTAGACACAATTGGTTGAAAATGATGTGCCAGTCATCTAAATTTCTACAGACTAAAAACAGACGGCTGTTAGCACTAAAGTGTATTTAGAGTAGAACTAGAGAAATTTATTTCATAGTAACTACTCATTTCTCACTATGCACTATTTGAGCATTAGATATGTGCTTGTGTACTGTATAAGATAGTTTGGATAGAAGGAAGCTTTACAACTTATGGTAAAATTTCTGGACTTATGTTCTAACACAGGCTTGATAGGTTAAGACTGGACACCATGACACAGTCAAGTGACGACCAACTAGCACTATAGGCTAAGGGGCCCAAACACTAACTTCAAAAGCCATCCTAACTATGTCTGCAACAAAAAAACTAGTAGTGAGAAACTCCAATTATATTCATCCCTCATCCAACAAGCAGATCACTTAGAGAGAGAAAAGCCCCCAGAAAAGTGAGGAAAACGAAACGGAAAACCAAATGGGAACGGGACGATAGATCAAATACCATATAAAAGAGTAAAGACAAGACAAGAAAGAAAGTTGGATCTTTCAGCAACAGGTGACTACTTCATTTAGCTCTAAAACTTAGTCAAGAAGTATGCTCGCTGCGTCTAAACTTTTATGTTATAACCCAAAATTCACAGAGTTGTAGGTCAGAGTAGGCGAGTATATGGTGATTTTATGATGGCCCCTACCCCTCAAAAACAGAAAAAAATAATAATTAAGTGATACAAGACAAATTGAACACTGACAGACTTTAATAGGTAAGAGTACAAATTATACTTCAGAATTTCGCAATAAAACAATAACCACACTACGATACTATTTGCCTAATTGTCCTACAATCAACTTTCCTGGAGTATGGTTCGAGATATGACGAACAATTACTCTAGTGAAAATGACTATCACACTTGGAAAACAACAGCCCTAAAATAAGAAACACAATCGCTAAGATTTCAATAACTTCTACTCAGAATTGATGTTAGATGGTTAGAGGCAATCATCAGCAGGAAGCACGATGGACCTAGGTTTCGTACTTGTTGGCAAACTCATCATCAGCAAGGCGTATGTATAATCTTGAAGGGACTAACTAATGTCACCCAGTGCTGCAGTCAGAGCTATTCCGGGCTTACAAATGAATATAATGAGTATCACCGTCAAGTTGATGAGTGCCAAGAAGCTCGAAACCTAAAGGGCCACAGCACTTACTATCGACTGCATCCAACTATCTAATAACATTAATTCAGAGTGTACCACACAATGATGAGTCACCATATCTTGGTGACTACCACACACACTGAAAACTTGGCTGATAATAGAATTCAGTCTACACCGACGCTAAGGACTACTAGACTCAATGACACTGGTTTGGTCATCCTTCCTGGTGACCAATCAACACCTAGTCATCGCCTTCCTTGACAATGGGCAATGTTAGCTGACATAGGGTCAGACTGGAAAAGAGCTAGCGGCGGTCAAACCAAAACATGGCACCAGTCAATGAAATCTACAAGTTAGTTTAAGACAACCAGCCACGTAGGAAGGTGTAAACTTCCTGACTAGTTGGGGTCCGCGGAACGGTAAAAACCAATGGTTGGAAACAATTGGTGATATGGCTCAAACTCATCGTTCTCAATGGCTAGCGCAGATGTATCCATTCCTTGTGACTTATGATTTCCAATGAAACTGTTTTGTTCTTCGTTATTACTATACCTTTGTCTCACACCTCTGTTTACTGTCTCTATTATGCATTTCTTCTACTTTCTTCTCTTGCTTTGTGTGCTACAAGGAAGGAGTGTGGTGACTCGAACTGCCACACATCGGTGCAAAGTTCTATGTTGAAAACAGACAGACAGACAAAGACAAACCAACCAACCAACGTAACTACCTACCAACCTACCTAACTAACTAACTAACAACTCTCTTTAATTAGCACAAAAGAAAAGAGGAAAAGAAGATCAATAATGATGATAATATGTATAGAACAGATAGATAGATAGACAGACAGACAGATAGGTAGATGTCATACTATGCCGCACATCATGAGAGGAAAACAAAACCAAAGAATGTAAAAAATATTCTATTAAACAGTAGAAATATATATATATATAAGCTACGTATGCACTTGGGTATACAAATAGAACAGAAGTATGTATATTGTACACGTATATGTATATATATGTATGCATGTATGTATGTATGTGTGTATGTATGTATGAGATTAATGAATGATGAAACAAGTTATTGATTGATAGCACTCATCAAATAGATAATATGACAATAATGGCGACATATATTGGCGACAATGACAGTCTTCACCAACACACACTGAGGGGGGAGGGGTCAGGAGTTTATTAAAAATAAATGGAGTACAAAATACAAAATAAAAACACAAATAAATAAATAAATTAAACAAATAAAAAGGGGGGTGGGGGAGGAGATATACAAAAATAATGATAATAGATATACAATAACAATATATATATATATATATATATATATTTGGAGAGAGAGAGAGCAATAGTATTATGGAACGCGTGTGGTAGATTAATAATAATTATAATTATTATTATCATTAGTAGTAGTAGTAGTAAACAAAGTAAGTATCTGTCTTCTTTCTTGTTGTATCTGTGTGCTTTTTATTTATTTATAGAAATGAGTACAATCTTGGCGTTCATTACAAAGTAGAGAAATATATGTAGATTAACTTTATGCTGAGATAATAATACTACTACTATCCTATCTTATACCAATGAATGATAATATGACCATAAGTAGTATAGAAAAAAAGAGAGAAAAATGTGAGATGATGTTGTTACACCTGTGTGTTCATACGTACGTACACCCCCCCTTGTGTATACACAGAGACAAACGCTTAAAAAACGAAAGAAAAGTCAAAATAAACAAATTCTATACAATTGAAATGTATACACTTATTGAGGAAGGAAGGAACAGGGAGACAGTGAATGGATGAGAAAATAATATCGGGACAACTTTTTTCGAAAAAAAAGGAAAAAAATATATGAAAACAGGTGAATATTAATCAGAATGATAATAATACTAATAAACATGAGCATTGAGACTAATCTAGCCTAACAACTGTTGATCAGCAGTAACAAATTCGAGAACATTTGAAGCTGATGAATGATCCTGTAGCATATCTATGCCAGTGAATTGTGCTGACATGTCATCACTGAGGATATCACCAGCACTTGTAACAATTGCATCATTATTATTATTCAATGCTGCTGCGAATTGCATACTTGTTTGAGGCATTGATATAGGCGTTTGTTGAATAACTTGAGAATATTGCTGCTGTTGTTGTTGTTGTTGCTGCTGTTGCTGTTGTTGAGGTGGAGCATATCGCCATATGCATACAAGATTATTATCAGTTACAGCGGCTAGATAATAACCATCAGAGCTCATTTCAACGGAATTCACTACGGGATTACGAAAACCAGATGTAATACTCTCTTTGAGTTGTTGATCTTCATCACGATTCCCTTGAACTGAACACTCTGGCCATTCAAGAATCTACAAAATAATTAGAATATGAAAGAAAGAAATAAAAAAGCTGTTGTATGTAGCTGAAACTTTTAAGTATGTCGGTATAGCTGTGTTTTCTGACCTAGATGGTTTTAATTCTCTTCGTAAGCAAAATGTTCAGAGTTGACTTCAATATGAGAAGTGAGCTTTTAGAGTACTCTCCATAACAGCTGAAAACTCGGTTCCTACTGAAGTCAGCACGCTGAGGGGGGTTGTTATTGTGCTGAAAGACAATGAAGGCTTCATAGTTAAAGCATCCAGTTCGGTGCATGTATCTATGTTCCCAGTGGAACATAGGACTTGAAGCTAAAGGCTTGAAGTTTCGGTAGCAGTCGTATTTATGTTTACGGAGTGGTATTGCTAGCCTCACGTCCAACCTAACCTCTTTATCGATCTTATTACCGGCTTAGCGAGGTGTCACAGTGCGTCGGCCGGGCATCGAACCACGGACCATATGCGTGGCTGGCGAGCATTCTACCCCTCGAAAGGAATGGTGTAATTTTCACAGGATATAACTACAGAAAGCAAAGTGATGAACTTATACATTATTATCCATAGGTTTCAGAGCCTCATTCTATCCTGTGATATACGCGTTTAAAGATACAATTAGTAAGTTAGTTTGGATGATGTAAGGGATGTTAATTAAATTTCACTGTCTATATTTATGTTGTACTCTGGTAGTTTAAGGGGAAAAATAGCAAAGATAAAGATCATAAACAATCTTTTTTCTCTAAAGTTTGAAATGTGTGTGTGTGTGTGAATCTCAAGACAGATGGGATGATCAAACAGTAAGATTTGTAATACATGCAGAATATAAATGACACACTAAAACATTGGACCATAGGACACAGGAAATATACTTCGGAACAGTACATAGGCAACAGAAGCTGGCGTGTAAGGCTGTATATCAGTGATGGGAAAATATGTTAGTTAAGTACATTAATATACCAAAAATATTCATTCAGACATCTAGAAAAGAATATCCTTTTCGATAATTTCTTCTTCTGGCTTTACAATTATATATATATATATATATTCATATACATAGAATATTCTAGAATAATAGTTATTGACAATATTGGTGTTTTTAAGTACTATCGATTTGTCAAGTAAGATTACAATGGAATTACATTTCACTAAAGATGCATACATTATAATAAGCATAAAAATGTAATAGCAAGTAGAATATCAAATAAAATTAAGGAAATTTCCACAAAAAATTGAGGATCATTAAAACCTTGATGGTCAAGGTAAGGAGAGTATCTGAACCAGCTTCTTTTGGATGCATAGGTTAGGTTTCTTAATGTGGATTCCAACAGCCTCAGCAATATGTAGTAGACGAACTCTTAAGGTGAAGTTAAGATTAGTTGGTATGCAGCAGATAACTTTGAAAGCTGCCTCGATAACATAAATCTTGTGCTCTGTATCAACGAGATGAGATAGAAATGATACGCTACATAGTAGTATGTTTGTTAAACATGCATCTATCTTTTGGATAACATTTCGGGCACAATCAATTGTTTATGATCAATATATCAGATGATTGTGTAAGGTAACGAGAGAAGATAAGAGAATTGGTAACGCACCTTCACTAAGGAAAAACACACGCCATATTTATACACTCTTAGCGACATTAAAGTTCGGCTAGGTTATAGGGAAATATATTGTTCTGATTGGTTGGCAACTGGCCCAAGGTTAAACACGTTATCCAATGAGGTTATTTCATGTTCAGATTTGAGAAATAAATACTTCTGCGTCTGCGGCCATTGACTAAAACTGTTGATTTCAATTTTGGCCACTTCTTATCAATCTGCACCGCGCGCTACAGTCATACTCTATATGATAATACCTCTTAGAACAGTTTTACAGTTCAACTGAGATAATACTACATAGAAAATCGACTGTAATATATAGAAAATGAAATGTTATTCAAAAACTAATTGCATTTTCATGCAGTTGGCAATGAGCCACGCCTATTTTTTGCGCGGGCTAATTATACTTACTACCTGGTTGCTTAAACCTCGATGAGTGGAGCAGCCTTTAGACGCATGACCAACTACCGGTTGAAATTAAAGAGCCAAAACTCCACAATTCTATTATGTAAACAGAGATTATGCAAATTTCAAACACTAAACAGTGCAAAACAAAGACATTTAAACTAAACAAAACAATAAAAGAGAGAAGGAATTGCCTACTTTAATTGGTTTAACATGAAAGCGTTTCCGACTAGAAGCGTGTAAATCATCTAAATACGGATCCAAATCATATATCCAAATTGAGCCTTCATTATCACCGCATAGGACAGCGCCAAGATTTTGTCTAACAGATACATTGATATAGATTTCATCTGTTTTTTGCCATAATAAATGTCCTCTCATTTCAATTGGAACAATACGTTGAAGACCTATCACATTGAGGGTAAACAAAATAATACAAACATTAATAGGCTGGGAAAAAACTAATCAAAATAGATAATGCACTTTTTCATGGCTCTTTCGGGTTGTGAAAATGTAACTATTCGGACACCGAAATGATCAGAATGAAAATCGTTTATTTTAAGTTTAATCATAGATTTATGTCAGTTAGAGAACCAGTGAAGACCAGGGTGTATTGAACAGTTGTTTCGCATCAGTTGGGGACTTTCTAGCAGTATGTACCTACCAGAATTTGAACCAGTGACCCTGCGGTAACAAGGCAAGTTAGTAGGTCACTTAGACACTGGGATCCATTCCAATGGCCAGTCCATGAATTCCTAATTCTAACAAACCGACAGTTCGCTAACTGACACCAATCCGTCGTCATCAAACCTGACACAAATCAAATCCCTACAAACTAACTCATAAAAATTATTTAAACATGACTGACAGAATTCAGTTTGCACTAAACAGAGGACTAGACCCTATACTAGTTGTTAACTATTGTCCAATCAAAAGTATCCAATACACTCCTACAGGAGGTTAATCGCAGGCCCGAATAGCTGCTCAGTGGTAACGTCTATGACTGCAGTACTCACTGGGTGACGCGGGTTCCAATTTCACAAGGGTGGGAATGAGCTCCTTCAAGGTTGCAGATACGCCCTGCTGACTGGTGAGTGCCGAATCCTAGGTGCAAGGGTGGGCTTCCTGTCGACTGACTCCAACCATCTAATATCATCAAATCAATGTGCACCGTGATGGAGAGCTACCTAAAATGGTGGCAACAACGCAAGCGTGACTGATATAATTCAGTCTGCACCAAAGATGAGACTGGAGACATCACACTAATTACTAACTAATCTCCAATCAAAAGTATTTTAATTATAATTAAACAATGTAGTCAGAAAACTTGTCCAGGATTAAAGTAGATGGAGCTGGACTTGAACCCGATACCTATCAGCTGACAGTCAGTCACGTGTACTTAAAGCTAATAAACCACATCTCCAATAAGAACATTTCAAACAACTGAAAAAAATAATTTAACAAGTATTATACTTTGTAATTATCCTTATACCCTAACGGTGATTAGAAAACAAATTACAATAGCAGATATGACAATCAAAACTGGAACCATTTCCAAAACTCATCCTATGATGCAACACTTAAAGTTCAAGGGCGAAAGATGAACCACAAAATATACACTACTGACTGAAATAATCAATATCGATCAGATGAACTTAGAAAACAGCCAACAGCATGTAGATTTATTTGGGGATAAAATTCGTTCAACGAAGATTGATGAAGTCATTGGTACATACTAATTGGTCTATTGTATTCATACCGTTACCGATATGGAGAAGCAAATCATAACTTGAAGGTCCAGACATTGTATTTTTCGAAATCACATATAATCTCATCATTACCAATTAAAAAATCTCGATTTCACCATGAGCTGACATTGGTTAGAGAACCATTGGAAAACCTGGGAGTACTGGATAGCTGTTTCATCCTAGTTTATGACTATTCAACAGCACGCACCCAACGGGGTTCGAACCCAGGACCTTCTGGTTACAAGGCGAGCTCGTATACCATTAAGCCAATGGGACCCGATCCAATGGCCAGCCCATGAATTCTAACTTCTGCCAATTCACGACATAGCGCGACCCCTAACCAATGTCTCCGGCGAGTATTTGTCCTCACACCCTACCTGCTGCACCCTACTGGTCACAACTTCTCACTAGAATCCCAAGTAACTACCTACCTGAATAGGACAAGTCGCTAGTGAGCATCTCATTGATATTCAAGTGTTGGTTTGTAGGGATTTGATTGGACTGGTGGGTGCGTACTGCCGAAGGGTCCCACACTAGGACGAAACAGTTGTCAAGTACTCATGATGAAATCCTGTAACCAATCAAATGCCTACAAGCCAACACTTGAAAAATCTCACATAGACTACTTGTTCTGAGCTTATATATTTGATATACTTAAATGTGCTGGATATCAATGCACAAAAATGTTGTATGCTTTTCTCAATAACTGTTATTCTGATTTCTCAGAGGTACGACCGGTAAAAAAAGACATTTTCCGTTAAACTGATGAAGAGATAGATTGAAGAGCTGCATATATCGAAGTGTATAATTGATTGAAGTGAGAGAGAAAAGTGAAAGGCAGTTTTTAGTGATTTCATCAGTGTACTACAACAAGATGTACAGATTCTTTCTATGATAGATCTTGTTTGATTTATTACAATGCAGATGTGACTACTTTCATCAGACCTGTGGTCCAAGAACTTAAATAGGGGAAATCTTTAGATGAAATGTGTACATTCTATACTCCTATGTTGATGAGAATGTAACAAGAGATTTACATACCTACAAAGCTGATGATAGTCAATGAAAATAAATAAGCACCAGCACTTCACATCAAACTAACCTTTACGTCGTTCAAGAATTGAGGCAAAATCGAATACCATAATTTCTCCAGACTCGACAACTTTTATTACTAAAGCATTATCGCTAAGCTGAGCTAAAGCGTCAATACACACTTCATGATTAAAGTCCAACTTCAACTCCATATCAGGTTCACGTTCTCTTTTCTCCAGTCGTAAATCAGTTATCTTCCAAGCAAATAGACCATCTTCACAACCAGCTATTAAATAGGCATAGTGTGGCAGGAAAACAAGATTTAGGACAGGATTTACATCTAATCTAGGACAACGAAGACGCATTAATAACTGGTAGCGTGTTTTGTAGTCTGGTACTGAAGGGATACCAATATCCCAGACGATAACAGATGCCTGAAAATTAAGATAAAGTTGTAAAAAATAAATGTGAAAGAGAAAAATAAAAATAGAAAAACAGAAAAAGAGATTTAAAAAAAAAGAAAACTCCACTGTGATCATAAAGATTTATATCGAAACTAAGGTAGAGAAATGTTTCCGTACGACGGTATACGCGTAATATACTCTCCTACTGAGGCATAATTTCAGTAATCTTAACAGTAAGTCCACTAAAATTACAGGTGAGGTTATTTGTAGGTAACTCTAACAGATCAAAGATTAATAACGGTTTCAAAAGCATTCTTTGACCTATTGTTCATCCGTTATTATGTAAATGTGTGGAAAAGACATTGATTTCATTCTCAAAAGCTGTACAATCTCATTTATTTACACAAATTTACAGAAAAATACAACTATTATTTAATTCCATATAATAACGAAGGAGACTAAGAGTGTGATAATAATTTTCAACTTGATATGAAAGTTTGAGAGTGTGATTGTAGATTACAAGGGGCTAAGAAGCAAAATTACACAGAACTAAAAACCAGTTGCGTTATATGCTCGGACAAGCTCAGGTATGCCGTAATCGTCAACATTTATCACAGCATTTCAACTAACACATCATTCTGAGTTATTTACAAAGTAAACAAAAATCTACTAAAGACAGTTTGTTTCCAACCTCTTTGTACTGTACATGGCATCAGTAAACGAAATCAATAACAGTTATTTTAAGCCAGACAGCCAGCCACGTAGGGAGGCGTAGACTAGCTTTCTGGTTGGATCCTCGGGATGGTAGAAACCAATGGCGGCTGGAGACAATCGGTGATATGGCTCAAACTCATCGTTCTCAATGTCTGGCGCAGATGCATCCACTCTTTGTGACTTATAATACCCAATAAAACTATATTGTTCTTCCATATCACTATTCTTTTTGCCTCATATCTCTGTTGACTGTCTCTATTTTGCATTTCTTTTTTTCTTGTTTTGTGTGCTGAGTGAAGTGTAGCGACTCGAACTGCTGCACATCTGTGCAAAGTTTGACGTTGAAACTAGTCAGTCAGTAGAAGCCATCGCAGAGGTGAGAATGCTCGCCAGCCACTCATTTGGATCGCGGTTCGATTCCCAGCCGACGTACTTCCAAACCTCGCTCAGCTGATAATACGTCTGGCAAGGAGGGAAGTTTGGGTGTCAGACTAGCAACCCTACACCATAAAAGTAAAACCACTGCCACTGAAACTTCAAACCTCTAACTTGAAGCCCTACGTTCCATTGGTGACGCAAAGGAATAATAAATAATAACAATCTGTTCACTCACTGCATTCTACAGTTTCATAGTATTCTCATTATCAAAGGGAAAAAGAAATCATATCACCATTTGTCTAACTAAAAAACAAATAAACCAACAAATTTAACTGGAATATATACGACAAATATAAGGGTAAAAATACCTTAGAATCTCCACTGAATAAAATTGTAGATTGTGTTTGATGAAATATCATAGCGGTTACATCCTCTGTATGACCTTTCATTTCAGCATAACAAACCAACTGTTCCGGGTGAAGTAGTCGAATTTCATGCATACGACCAGCTGCAGCCAAGATATTAGTACGTTTACCGCCTTCAACTTCAACAGTTGTCCAGGCTATGGTATAAAATTCCTATGAAAAACACAAAAATTGATTAGATGAATATAATAGAAGAAATACAGGGGACAAAGTGAGACTGGATGAAATGTATTGCAAACAGAGGCGGAGGGGAGGGAGGGCATTGAATACGCCAATGTTGAGAAATTATGGAGTTACGAGAAACCCCATTCGCAAAATTCTGCACTACTTTACTTTAAATGTCATAAAGAGAATGAACATAGTAAGCTTCCATTCACACTAGTCAACGGCGATGACTATTCAATTAAAAGAGGGTACTATCAAAAACATTTGAATAGAATCAGGTTTTCAAACGACTGTTAGTCTTTCAAATAATTATTCCCAATTTAGTATATTCATCTGATCTAAAAGCTAGAGATATGAGAAATTGGCAAAGTTAAACTTTAAGCACCGCTAGCTACCAGTCAGCCAGTGGCCTCGAACGCACCAATCACGTGGAGGAGGCATTTTTGTGTATGGAACACATATTTATTTATGAAAAAAATGCATAAAAACTGGATAAAAGTGTTACAGAGGATACTTTTCCCTCACATGGGGTAAAAATAGCTCTCACTTTTAGGTTGGAGTATCAACAGAGTATAACTCCATTGTGAGTAAAATTTATTTCGATAAAGTCTCATATATATATATATATATATATATTTCAGCGGGCAGCGAGGAAACAGGCACAAAATGGACCCACACAAAAAACTTGGAGGATATGGACTTCGCCGATGATATATGTCTGATTTCCCACAAACTGGAAGATATGCAAGTGAAAAGTATCAAGTTGACAGGAGAAGCATCAAAGATCGGACTTCAGGTGAACATAGAGAAGACAGATGTAGGTGATGAAGATTCCTGACCAACAGCAACAGCAGTAACAGACAACAGTCAGAATAAATGGGAGAAATCTGAAAGAAGCAACGTCCTTTACCTACCTACCAACGTAGGTGGGAAGCATCATTTCAACTACAGGCGGAACTGACGAGGATATCAAAGCGAGGATCGGGAAAGTAAGGCAAGCTGTGTGGAGGTCATTCAGCATGAAAAATAAGATCCGGATTTTCAGCTCCAATATGAAGTCAGTGCTACTTTATGGATCAGAGACTTGGCGCGTCATGAAGAGCACCTCAAACAAACTACAGACCTCCATTAACAGCTGTCTTCCCTCAGTACTAATCAAGAACAGATGGCTGGCCAGAAAAGATCAGCAACAGGAGGGATCTCTGCTACCAAACCAACCAGGAACCGATTGTGCAACAAATATGCAGGAAGAAATGGAGGTGGATTGACCATACTCTGAGAAAACAAACCATTAAGTGACATCACACGCCAGGCCATCGCTCGAGTGGAACCCGAATGGGAAGCGGCGAGTTGGTCGTCAGTGTGAGGGTGACATGGAGGAGGTCATGTGAAGAGGAGATGGAAGCAAGTGGGCAAACGTGGAACCAGATGAAAACGTTGGCAGAGAACCGAACGCAATGGAGAGGTGCGGAGGAAGCTCTAAGTTTCTCTAGGAACTAAAGGAAGCAATTATATATATATGTTATCTGAGACTTTGTAAGTTCTGGTTTAATATCACTTTGATAAAGCTGTTAACAACATTAAATAGTGAAACTTCAGTAAACCAAACAATATCGTTTCGTTTTTCCATTCATTGGGAAATGCAAAATCTTTTCTATAATAATGAATAGCGGACTTTAGTTAATCAAATACAACAACAACACGAAATCATGACAAGAGTATTGCAGATAGTATGTAGTACTTACCTCTTCCATATGCTTGAAACGCTTCATAACTTTGCCAGTTTCACAATTGATTAAGCATACACATTCACCTCCACAAGTAGCAACCACATGAGTTGTTTCATCTGGTCGCAGTGGATTTGGTTCGAAAAGACAACGCCATACTTTAGTTTCACTATCACCAGCATCATTATCTTTAGCATGACAACGAATAAAGTGTAATGGGTCATAGTCGATAGGAGTTGCATCAGAACGTGGACCACCAGCTGCTACTGAATTTACTGTATTGTAGGCATCAGATGAGAAAGGTGTATCTGAACAAAGATCCCGTAAGCTTCTTAAACAAAAAGATGAAGAATAAACATTAAGAAACTAGAACAATCTGTTTATTTTGTTAAACCATACAGTGTTTATGTTTTGTGTTATATGCCTATCTAACTAATTTGCATAGAATGCATACAATTTTGTTTAAAAAAGCAGGAAAACCCAGTGTACATTTTCCCGCTACTTATTATATTCAGATAATGATGACATTAACATTAAAGGCTTATGAAAAATTAAAAATAATAGCCATGTTTAGCTAGCCCAACAATCACAACATATGATGCAATTCTGGATCCAGGTTCGCCTCCCAGCCAACATACTCCTAAACCTCGTCTAGTTATTAGTAAGCCCATAAAAGAGGGAAGGTTAGGAGTGAGGCTGACAGCTCCACCCAGTAAAAAAACAACACAAGCCCTGCTGAGACTTAAAAGACTAAAGCTTAAAGTCCTACGTCCCATCTGAAACGAGGACGAATGAAAAGAAATTATGGATGTGTCGAATATGTTCCCGATCCACTTGAGAAACATTGTAGCCTATGAAATATACTTTTCGACCTTCCTGTTGACAAGTTTGTCGTCATCATTATACAAATGACTGTTATAGTGACAATTATGGTCGACAGTCAGAAGTTCTAAGGATCGCACTTAATTTCCATCAGCATCGTAGGACGAAGTTTGTCTGTACCTCTTATACCTTATAGATTCAGATTTATTTTCCTTACTGTATCAGTAATGAGCGTCATTTTTCGCCTATTCATACAGTCCGTTTTTGTTGTCGCTTATGGCGTGGTACATGCTACTGACAAGATTTTATGAGTAGTATGTAGATGTGACCAAAATTGAAATCAACATTTTAAGGCAGTGGCTGTAAAGGTAGAACTGTTCATTCCTCGAATCTGGGTATAGTTTACGTTGTGGATATGAAATAACCTTATTGGACAACTATTTGTTTCATTATTTGACCTTGGGTCAATCGTCAACCAATCAGAACCGTCTGTTGTCCGCTAACCTAGTCGACTTTTAATGTGGTTAAAAGTGCATATGACATGTTTTTTCCTTAATAAAGAAGTCCGTTGCCACTTATCTTATCTTCCGCCGTTACAATGAGAACTTGGAAAGCACAAAATACAATAGTGTAACAGACATTACCTGTGCATTCCCATAGACTTGCGTTTCTTCGGTCGTGGAGGAAGACCACCAGTTGCTCCACCTGAATCTTCACTAGTATCAAAATCAACTTTACCCGATCGGTACTGGTTAGCAGATCCTTTTTTGCCACTAGCCCCCGGTGTATTGGCGTCAATATTAACTTCACCAAGTGGAACCATACCAGATCCAGACCAAGATTTATCCGCTGCAGAAGTACTGACTTGATCTGATTTCCGCGGCCGTCCTGATCCAGTACGCCTTCAAAATATAAGTAATATGTTAATTAATTGGTAGTTCTATTGAAAAATTTCAAATTCGTTTCAGCGAGTAAACTCAAATATTACATCCGCAACTAATAGGATAGTGTAGAATGTGATTGTTTCTTACTTTATAGTATCTGTCAAACCGTTTCTACCTAGGCTGCTTATGGGTGGGTGGTGTTACAGACAATCGAATAATTCTTAATCAAAGTTTAATCCATGTTTACAATCGATCGATTCGGTTTCGTGACTTTATTGACATATCTCGTCTAGAAATCTACCAATTAAATGCTTTTGTCATTCAACTTAGCACACTACACGAGTTATACATCAAAGGAAGTAACGACTTTATAGACAATTAACTTTGTAGCAAATAGAATATCAACTAAAATTGGGCAGATTCCACAAATATTCAGGATCATTCAAACCTAGATGGCCAAGGTGAGGATAATGCCTGAACTAACTTCCTTTGGGTGCACAAATAAGACTTCTTAATGTGGATCCCAACGGCCTCAGTAATATTTAGTAAACGAACTCTTAAGGTGAAGTTAAGATTAGTTGGTGTGCGGTAAATGACTTTGAAAGCCCCGTTGACATCAGTCTTGTGTTATGTATCCACAAGATGAGATAGAATAGCGCTGCGAATAGATTTTGTTCGTCCTTTGCTTAACCGCTATGCAGGGTGATGTTCGGGAATTCGATAAGAAACACGCCTAATTGTACGGTCTATGTAACTGACTCACTCCACAGGAGCAGTTAAATTGGTAGATACACATGGAAGAGGCGAAATAAGCAGTTTATCTTTTACTCCCGAACGCAAAATAGGTCTGGTGTTGAAGACGCAGCATAATTCAGCAGCACTGAGTGCTCTTTTTACCTCATCCCCTGGGCGTTATGTTAATATCTCACTGATGTTATCTTCGAGGAACTGAAGTTATAAGAATAAGGCCTTTTTCGCAACTGTTGGTACCTTGAGCTGCCTTGATTTTAGATTCACATTCTTATCAATAAACTTTTCTGGATAACCATTTTCACTCAGCAACCGTTTAATATCATCAAGTTCCTCATTAAGACATTCATCCGAGCAGATTGCTCTTGCTCTGTGAACCAAGCACTTTATCAGATTGCGTTTGTATTTCAAAGGCACGAAGCTGAAAATATGAGTATACCGACCCGTTGATGTTTTCCTTATGACCAGAAAAGAGGATGGCACAATAAGAAGTCGCAGGCTGAGACGAGACAGCTGTCCAGTACACCCAGGTTCTTAATGGTTTTCTAATGGATGTCAGCTCATGATGAAACACTTGAGATTACTTCCAGCTCAGTCAAAAACATACCTAGTCTAGGAAAAGACCACAGGTACACAGTTTATATGGCCATCAGTATGCCCCTTGGTGATCGATCGAATTCACGGAAGGGTTCACTAAAAACACCATATTTTGGTATGCGTATATCAGTAGTATAGAAATCAACATCCAAAAGTCTTTGAGACTTCACTTGTAGCCATTAGGTATCATCATAGTGTAAAAATCCACTTAGTCTAATTCACATTAATGATAAGAAATAAAGAAGCATACACATCTGGACAAAGCATAATGCTTTTATACTTACTTTTTAGGAGTTACTTTTTGTCCCAAAGTGTCTTTCACAGCTTTCTTATATATCTCAGATGCCATATAACCTTTCACATAGTCTTTATTACGCAGTTCACCGGGTAGAAATTCAGCCACCGGTCGACCACTAACACCACGTGGACGGACAACAGTCATAACAATTGAACGACCTTGTCGTAATGAACGTCCCAAGTGGAGTTGATAATTTGACAATCCATTATTTGTTAAGCCTAGTTGACAAGCACCATTCGGTGTAAGAAGTACTTGTTGTTGATGTAAACGACCCATTGCATCAACAAAAAATGTGGTTTGCAGTTGATTAGCATTTTGAGCTAATAATTGTAAATCAGGCAGATGTGTACCTAATAACTCATCTGCAGCATCGAACAATGCACATTCATCTAGAATAGAAAAATGGAGAAAAATGACGAGAAATAATATGACTGCTATCATCTGACAATATCGATTACGCAATGTAACAAAATGAAGAAATTTATCTCGTTTGACATCAACAACTGGAATGATGACTGTATAGTAGGCTAATTTCTGAAAATAAATTGACTAATTTCAATTGAACAATGGAAAATAGGGCGAAATGTTACCCAACGATCAATTGCGGGTCTATGCAGTTGGCAATGAACCACACCTATGATGTGAGGGTTAGTAATACCTACCTGGCTGTTCAAACCTCAGTAGGTGGGGCATGGTTTGAACCTGTGATTCACTTGGATGGAAGTTGAGCATGAAGACCAGTGGGCCATAGCTCCACAAACTTAACAGCTGGTCCGAAACCCCTAAAGGCACATTCACAGAACAAGTCTAAACACTGAAGACATCGGACGACTTGAAATAATCAATTATCAAACAAATATACCATAGTCTGAACAATGAAAACATTAAGTAGTTTTTTTTGGAAATGTGTCTGAGAAGCATCAAACTGAATATTTCTCTAAAATATAATCCCGATGGCTTGAAAATTGCTTTTGTGATTCTACAAAAATTGCACCTAAACTGATCTTTCCATTTCTACACTACTTGGTAATTCGGTTAATATCAGAGTCTTCTGAACACCTCGAGCTACAATCTGCGAATGTTCGGCATACGATTCGCTCCCACCAAATGTAAGATGGTGATGCAGGACTGGACTACGTTGACTTCTAGCTTAGAAATAAAGAGTGAAGTGGTGGCTGAGCGTGTTGACCACTTCACTTATTTTACAAGTTGTATCAGCCAACGCTAGCGGGTTGATCGCTGATGAAATCTCAACATGGATACAGAAGGCTCGTTTCGCATATGCCACTTTACACCGTCTCTGGCGTAGACGTCATATCCGGCTGGCTATCGACCAAAGGACGTGTGTACTGCTCACCAGTACGCTTCGTCCTCCTTTATACCTGACTGTGAGACCTGGATATTGAGAGTGGAAGACATGAAAAGGCCGGTTAGCTGTCTTTGATCACAGGTGCCTGCGTTCTATCTCCCGTGTGAAGTGGTATAATAGGGTGAGCAATATTGAGGTTAGGCGTCGAGTGCTAGGTAAGGATGGAGGGGAAATCAATAGACGAGGCTGTGACGTTATGTCGACTGAGTTGGATGGATAGGACATGTGTTACGCGTGCATACCAACGATCCATCGCCTTCCTCGACAACGGGGAACATTAGATAGCTGACATAGGATCAGGTTGGAAAAGAGAAAGCTAGTGGTGGTCAAACCAAAACATGGCCTCATCAGTCAATGAAATCCACAACAGTTAGTTTTAGCCAGCTAGCCACGTGGGAAGACGTAGACTGGCTTCTTGGTTGGGGTCCTCGGGATGTTAAGAATCAATGAAGGCTGGAGACAATTGGTGATAAGGCTCAAACTCATCGTTCTCAATGGGTGGCTCAGATGCATCCACTCCTCGTGACTTATAATACCCAATAAAACTATGTTGTTCTTCGATATTACTATTCTTTTCGCCTCGTATCTCTGTTTACTGTCTTTATTTTGCATTTCCTTTTATTTTCTTCTCTTGCTTTGTATGCTACATGGAGGGAGTGTGGCGACTCGAACTGCTGCACATCGGTGCAAAGTTCTATGTTGAAACCAGCAAGCAGCAGCCAGCCATATCAGATATCAGAGATGTAGACACCTTCGCAAACACAACAAATACACCTACAACAAAACAAGTTGATTTTATCCGAATTTAAGTTATATTAGTTTTTGTCTATGATTAAATGTAACACAAGATAAATACACAAGGCATTTTAGGCTCACCGCGACTATCCCCCTAGAGGTTTGCGCGATGAGATAATACTGATTACAGGATCAATATGTAAAGTATTTTATTGATGATACGATTTTTATTAGCAGCTGAGAGCTTTTCTAAAATCTATCAAGACCAAGGCTGTTGATCTATGGGAGACGGGGTGGTAGGGAATCCGAGTGGGTGGGACCAATACACACCAATCAGTAATCAGATTATTAAAATAAAAGACTATATAGGTAATTCCGTTAGCTTAGATCTGAACCTATTAATGTTGCGATCAGAATACACTGTGAGGTAAAAGGATATATTTATTTTTTATTTTTGATTATAGCTTGATTCCATACCGTATTTTTTGTACAAGTATGGAACTTTCAGCATGTGATATCGGTAGCCCAAATTTTGCAGGCCGACCATAGATATCAGGTGTGCGTCGGCAGGAGATCGAACTCCGGACCATGTGCATGGTCGGCAAGAGTCCTAACCACTGTGCTACCGACGCACTGAAGTTTCAGCTGATATGTCTGAAGGTAAACATAGAAGATATTTAAAAAAATAATAATGATAATTTAAAAATTAGTAAATGAAACTAACTGGCAGCACGTGCAGCCGCTTCTTTTTCCTCTTCATCGTCATCGTGTGTATCATCAGATTCTAAATCACATAGAGACAGTTTTGCATTCAAATGAAGCGAATCAACACTTTTATGTGGTGTAGTAGTAGCAGCACCAGCAGCAGCGGCAGCGGTGACTTTAGTAACAGTACAGTCACCTGAAGGAGTCAATTCACTATCAGCTATTCGTGAAGCTTCAGTTAAGGCATAATCTTCCTCAGAATGTCCATTCTCAGTAACAGAAGCCGTTGGCATATCCAGAGTATTATCAACACTTGTTGTCAATTTATCATCTACAAGAGAATCGACTGCATTCAATAGTTCTGTATCCGAGGCATCATACAATTTCGATCGGAGTAATTCATCAATAGATCGAAAGAGCTGAAAAGAAATTAAGCGATTAGAAAATATATTGTAGGTGTGTGTAACTGAATATTCATAATAAAGATTGTTACAAAACTGTTGTTTATTTGAAGCAAGACAGTATTATTACAAGGGATTAAAACACTAGTAAATCGAGAATTAACCTGAGCGCTCAAGTCACATTCATTCACGAAACTACTATATGAATATAAAACAGACTTAGTACAAAAGATGTGTAGAAAGAATTATCCCATTTAGAGACGATAACTCAGTAGTGAAGTTTTGGATTTCAGCACAGAGTAATGCGGGGTTCGAGGGAAAAGAGTTCCTTCAAGATTGAAGACAGGCCTTCTTGGCGAGTGCCAATATGCACGAAACCTACGTCCACAGCTTATGGTCCATTGACTCCAACCATCTGATAACACCAATCTAGAGTGTTCCGTGATGATGAGCCACCTAGCATGGTAGCCATATTGCAAACCTGACTGATAGAATTCAGTCTGCACCATACGAAGGACTAGACGCATAACATTAGTTACTGCGTAGTATGATTGGGGATAAAGGCTATCGCGAGGTGTTTTCGCACATAGTATGGGAAACATCACAACAGATATTCTAGTAGAAAAACTGGCAGAAACCTTTTTCAAACAGTCAGACGTAACATCCAACGTGATTACAGCATTCCTCTAAGCAAGTAGTACAAAATCAACTACCTGAGGAAATTCAAACCGTGACCGACGGCTTCCATTCTACCTTAAATGAAAGCGCCGTAAGTTTGATTTGTGAATTAGTTGTGTTCTCTGAGCTGGTTGATTTAATTGCGAATCTTTCGTCGTCCTTCTAGACAACATCTTCAGCGCAGGTTTTAGTTTACCCCAATTTTACGTTAGACAGAAACTACATAAACCAAACATTCCCTTACGACCAATCGTTTCGCTTCCAGGAACACCAACATATAATCCATCCAAAGAACTTTTCAGAAAATTAAAATACCTAACAGAATCATGTGACCATTCTATCAATTCGGCAATCCAGTTTTTAAAGGAAATCAAAAGCATTCACTTAGATGACAATGAAATGATGGTGTCTTTTGATGTCACGGCATTATATACTTTAATTGGTCCAAACCTAGCGAAAGAAACTGTACAACAACTACTCCAAAGCGATGAGAACACAAAAACGTAATGTTCAACTTGGATGGAACTCATAGGATTATGTCCTACAACATACTGCCAATTCAATACTCAAATATATGAACATCAATGGAATCGCCCATATCAGGACTAATAGCTGAAGCCGTCATGGAAAGATTAGGATTAAAGCTCTACCTATAATCAAACCAAGAATCTGGGTACGCTACTTTAATGATACACTTTTAATACTTAAAAGAAATGATTTGCAAGTATACCCACAAATTAATAAACAACATATCTGAAGACATCAAATTCGCAAGAGAAGAATTAGATAACATAATTCCATTCTTCTTAGATGTCTTAATCAAGAGAACTAACACAGGAAATTTAGAAACACAAGTATATAGAAAATCAACGTACACAGACCAAATACTCAACTATAGTAGTAATAACCCGATTACCCACAAAAGAAACTGTGTGCAGACATTGTTTAAAAGAGTTCAAACACACTGTAGCACTCCAGTGTTGAAGAGAATGGAAGAAAAATACCTACTAACCGTCTTCAAAAAGAATGGATATCCTCACAATTTCATCAAAAAGTGTTTAAACTCAACTCGTAACACCAACAAGAAACCATCATCAAAGACCACAAGAAAATTCACTCTGCTATACATAAAGAATATCTCTGAAATAACGACTAGAATATTAAAACCGTTTGAAATAGATACAGCACACAAGCCAGGCAGCCAGCACAATCACTTCATTCGATATTGTGCGAACCGAAAGATCCAACAGAAAAAGAAGATAAAACTGATACCATTTACAAAATAAATTGTATGAACTGTAACAGACATTACATCGACCAAAGTGGGCGTCCCCTTCGAATCACAATCCAGGAACACAAATTGGCTGTAAAAAGACATGATATATGTCCTTTCATATAAGTTCATGTAGATAATTATGGACACCAATTTGATTGGGAGAATGTCGAAATTTTAAATAGAGGAAACACCAAAAATGCAGTCAGGGAATTTCTAAAAGCCTGGTACTCAAGTGAATCAGCCAGCGATTAACAAACACATTAGTATAGACCAAATTTACCAGCTAATAAAAAGTAAATCACATGACACGAAAGTTCGAATTCCAAATCAATAGAAAATGATCAATACAGACGTAAAATAACAACCAATCACACTAGTGGTCGCCAGGAGATACAATTACATCATCGATCATGGAGAAATTAAATAAGTTCATTTTAAACGAAAACCTGCGTTGAAGGGTGATGTTGTCTAGAAGAACGACGAAAGCTTCACAATTAAATCAACTAGCTCAGAGAGCACAATTAATTCAATTCAATCATCCACCTGAGCTACAAATCTTCTCCATTATTTCAAGTTTGATTTGTGATAGCGTGTATATCCTCTCCCACCTAGTATCCGATCAAAGAAACGATGGCGTTAACAGAAATGGAGAATGCCCACTAGTAGTACTGATTCTCTAATTACTGCCTGAGCAAACATATTACTTAAAAGTGTAATGATTAGCTTTTGAAAAGGATAACATATGCAAAAGTCAGCAACACAGGAAACTTCTAACCGATACAATTAACAGCTAAGACTATATTATACGCATGTATCAAAACAAAACTATACTACTTTCTAGTAATAAGTAGTTATATTAAAACCACTAAATTTCAATCTTCTGGTCTTTTATGAGAAGCAAACAAAAGCCTATCGGGAATCGATTCATCGACTTTTTCTACATCTAGCGCTGAAAAGTAACATCAGCATATATATATATTTGTTTCTGTGGGCGTCTATACGACTTCAGATTACTGATGTATAAAATTTTAACAAATATGTCAATAGTAAAAGCATAAATGCTTAAATCTCTCAGTGATGCAATAACTGCTATTTTAATTGTTAGACTATCAGAAACGCCTATTGACTAAAGCAAAAACAAAGAAATAATGAAAGCAACATTAAGGGTTGTTAGGAATGCAAACGGTAGAAGTGATTTGTATTTTGTTGTTGAATTTTTTCGTAATGTTAAACATTGAAACGACAATAAAAAATTCAAAGTTATTATTATTCAACAACACATCTCCACTTTGGTCTATTTTCTGCTGTCCTCTTCAGCTGGCTAGCTCCACGATTGCCCATAATCTCGCATCTACTCCTCCCCAAATGATCTCCTCCACATCACCCTCGCATTGACGACCTACGTGTCGCTCCCCATTGGGATTCTTTTGGAGCGATGTCATTCGACGACCTCCTCAACGTATACCCAATCTATCTCCATTTTCTCCTACATATTTGTTGAGTAATCGGCTCTCGCCTGTTGGTTTGTTCCCAGCGAGAGTTTCTCGTTGCTAATTCTTTCTGGCCGGCCAGCCATTTGATCTTCAATATGGAGCCAGTGAAAGTGGCAGATGTTGATAAAAGTGTGTAGCTTGTTGGAAATACTTTTCGTGACACGCAGTGCAAGTTTCTCACCCGTACAGAAGAACTGACTCGCCTGAGACTTGTATTGAAAATACAAATCTTGTTGTTTGTGCTGAGGCGGAGTGCAGAAGACTACTTCCAAACTGGTTTCAGGGTGATGAAGGCGTATCTTGCCTTTCCAATTCTGGCTGGCCTGCTTTAACGTCTTCATCCATTTCGCCCGCCTATGGTTGAAAGAATGCTAGCTACCTAGATAAGTGAAGGAAGTGACCTCAGTCAAATCTCTTCCGTTGATGGTGATTGGTGCTGTTTGTTGTTACTGTTGGTTGGTGGGTATCGTCATCATCATCACCTCTGTCTTCTTTATATTCACCTTGAGTCCTGTCTTCGCTGCCTATCTCTTCAACCAGTTTGTTGGTTTTCCCCTGCCTGCAAGTCTTCGAGTTTGTGTGACATCAGACGTAGATGATCCTCACGTGAAATCCACATCTCCTAGAGTCTTCTTATCGGTCCTTAGGATTCCTGTCTCCTCACTCATAGAAACTTATAACAAACGTTTATGTTACTATACTCAAAAGGAAAAACACAATCCAACTTACCAATAAATCTTTATACTTATTTAAAGCTTCACTGAGTAAAACATTCCGTTCTCTTATATGCTGGATCATGTTTCCAATTAACGTCATGCGTTCTTCACGATTTTTTACAAAGGGATATCGATCAGCAAAGTCAGTTTCCCATTTTGAACGTATCTAACATGGTGAACAGAAAAACATGATAACAATGATAATAACGGTAGTAATATAGTTGAAAATGCAGATCTATTCATACTTATGAAATAATGATTACACATTATCTAATTGTTTTAGGGTTTCTGTAGCGATTGGATTGGTTTTGTGGGGTAGGAGGTGGGTGGGTGGCTGCTAGCTCCATGCCCTATCTTCCCTCAAATGTCATGACATATCTGGAAGAATTAAATGTAGAATAAATGCCGCTTTCATAGGAATTCATTCAGTTGCGAGACAGTTCAAGGTTAACAAGTCCCCATTTTATGTTACCTCCTACAGCATATACCAATTTATATGTACGTGCCAAAGCACACACACACATCAGACGAGCAGACAGAAAGATTTGTGACCCCATATCTGAACACATTCCAAGAAGCTTGAGTCTGAAAGGTGAAAAGTGCATAGTAGTGGCATTCCTTCCCAGCTATGAGACAGTAGTCATGAAATTGATGCATTAAAATCTGTAAAGATAATTAAATTTCAAGACAGTCGAAGACAAATTTATTCCTCAGAAAGGAAAATGTTGTTAATCTTGCTTTATCTTGGTAACTATACCTAACGTGATTTAATAGTTTTCCTTCATTTTGTCATCATAATTATAATTCGTTCTGGCAATGTAATTTCCTACTTATATTCTTGATCAGATCCGTTTCTGATCTCTGTTCAACTAAATTATTTGACCCTTACATAAGTGTATTGTTGATTCTACACCTCTATCCTATTTGTAACAGCTTTTTGTAGTTCTAGAGGATTTCTTAATTATTTTTATGCATACTAACGAGCTTGACAATGAAGAAATTTGTACAGAAGTGCAGCATTTCCGGTTGCCACACTCCACTTGCAGCACACAAATGAAGATAGATAGAGAAAAAAGATATTTGAACTAACAATAATGAGAAGAAATATGAGAGAGAAAGGATAGTAAGACATAGAAAAACAGTAAGGTTTAATAGGTATGGGAGGTCACAAAGAGTGAATGTATGTGTGCTATTTGGAATGATTTTGATCTGTATCATTAAATCTCCAGCCACCATCCATCACCATCCTGAGGACTCCAACCAGGAGGTCTACACCTTCCCATGTGTCAAACTAACTTTTAAGCATTTCATGAACTGATCCTATGTTAGTTAACATTTCCTATCGTGGAAGGTGATGGCTAGGCATGCGTAACACATGCCCTAACCATCTCAATCGATGCAACTGTATAACCTCGCCAACTAATTCCCCCTCCTTACCTAATACTCGACACGACTCACTGACTGACTGGTTTCAACGTAAAACTTTGCACAGATGTGCAGAGCTGTTCAAGTTGCTACAATCCATGTTGCACAAAAAGCAGGAGAGGAGAGTAAAAAGAGATTCAAAAGAGAGATAATAAACAGAAATGAGACGCAAACGGAATCATAATAATAATAATATGGAACAAGAATATAATTTTACTGGATATGACAGATCGCAAAGAGTGAATGCATCTGCACCATCACTGAGAACGATTTTAAGCCAAATTACCGATTGTCTCCAGTCTTTCGTTTTTACCATCCCGAGGAACCCAACCAGGAAGACCACATCTTCCTACGTGGCTGGCTTAAACTAACTGTTGTGGATTTCACTGACTGGTGGCATAGCGGCTAGGACTCTCACCAACCATGTTCATGGTCAGGGGTTTGATCCCCTGCCAACGTACACCTAATATCAATGGTCGGTCTGAAAAATTCGGGCTACCGATATCACATGCTGGAATTTCCATACTTGTAACGAAAGTACAGCGTGGAATCAAGCTATAATAAAAATAAATGAGGCCATGTTTTGGTTTGACCACCATTAGCTTTCTCTTTCCCAACCTTACCCTATGTCTGCTATCTAATGTTGTCCATTGTCGAGGAAGGCGATGGCTCGCTGGTATGCGTAACACATGCCCCAACCATGTCAATCGACACAGCTGCTTCCCCTCCCTCCTTACCTAATACTGGACCGATGCCTAACCTCAATATTGTTCACCCTATTATACCACCTAACACACACGGAAGATAGAACGCAGACACCTATGATCAAAGACAGCAAGCCGGCCTTTGTATGTCTCCCACTCTCAATGGCCAGGTCTCACAGTCAGCCATAAAGGAGGACAAAGCGGACTGATGAGCAGCACACACGCCCTTTGATCGGTAGCCAGCCGGATATCATGTCTACTCCAGAGACAGCGTAAAGTGGTATATGTGAAACGAGCCTTCTGTATCCGTGGTAAGATTTCATCAGTGATCAATCCGCTAGTGTTGGCTAGTGCAACTTGTGAAATAAGTGAAGTGGTCAACACGCTCAGCCACCATTTCACTCCCTATCTTCGCATTATGCTACTTAATCACGTGATATCAATTAATATCCATCACTTTTATGGTCAATAACTAGAGTATTTGAATATCTTGTACATTGATATTAAATGATGCATGATTGTGCGTAGTTGATAAGAACTAATAAGGAATAATAACGCCATTTTATGCTGCACAACATGTCATTGTTTTTGTTCAAAGTTCACTCAGTTTAGTTAGTTCAATTGATGTGATCAAGCGATAATTTCTTCGGATGTTATCATGCTTTAATAGCAATCATTAATACTTAATATTAATATGAACAAAATATTAATAATAATAATAATAATGATAAACGGTATACAATAAAAGTACTCACAATCGGTTCCATCAATGATCTGGCTTCTTGTATAATACGAATAGTGAAATCATTAAGCGCCTCTTCAAAGTATATACCGTTAATATATTTAAGTTTTGGACAAAAATAGACCAGCATTTGAGGATTTAATAGCTACATTGAAATAGAAGAATAAATGGGTGAATGAATGGCAATAGAAATACAGTTAGTTATATATCATTTTCTATAATGCATAATAAGAAAATAAATGTAAATCATACAGCTTTTTCTATTCAAAGTTCCAGTAGTAGTGGCTTTGCTCTTACAACGGGATGATGTTGCTAGCCTCATGCTCAGTTGTCCCTCTTTGCCGAGCTTATTGCCAGCAGTTAGGTGAGGTATAGAAGTCAGTTGGCAAGTGAGTCCAAACCGGACCTTCCATGTGACTTCCACCTGCGCAGACACCAGGAAGCCTAACCGCTAAACCATGTGGGACAGTGTATTAGACAGGGGATTGTACGTAAATATGGAAAGTATAATTTGTTTGCTTTACGAAATTCTCGTTGGCACGGCTGAATTCTATTCTAACTCAATATTTTATTTAGCTCGAAATAATCAACACGTGGACAGTTTCTTTCCTCCATTTTTTGTTGTTGACACAAATGCTTGTCAAATACAATGAAAGTACTCACAGTCAAGTAATGGTGATAAATTTCGGTATAGAGAGCTTTTTAAACAACTAATTAATACTGATTGTTCAGTTAGGCTGTAGAAAGAGATTCCAGTAACTTGTATTTAACCATCTTCGAATTTAATTTAATTTGTACAAAAACAGATTTATAATAGAGTTTATGCTGTAATCTGCTGTCTCACTTGAAAAGTGTTTGCATCTGAAATTTATAGTGGTCATGCGTGAAGTTGATTTTAAATGTTGTGACAAAGGAAAGGGTGACATTATTGAAAAAGAAATTTAGAATAACGTATAGCATTTCTGTGTCTTTTGAAAATAATAACTAAGTATTGGCTTTGGAATGATGTAGATCAAAAGTGTAAATTTTTAAAGATAGTTTGACCAATAGACATTCATACGAAATACCATGTGGTATCTCCCCATGACAGTTTCATTTATTCTAAATATTTGGTCACATCATTTTTCATTGTAGAGAACTTCTTTGGATATCTGTTTTCTCTAATGAATATTCTTGAAGAAAGTCAATAAAATTTAGATTGTGAAAACACGATATCATGGAGGATTTCATCATGAGCTGGCATCAGTTAGAGAACCACCGGAAAGTCTGGGAGTACTGGACATCTGTTTCGTCCTAGTCTGGGTGCGTATTGATGAAGAGTCCCAAAATAGGACGAAACAGCTGTCCAGTACTCCCAGACATTCCAGTGGTTCTCTAACTGATTTCAGCTCATGATGAAATCCTCCATGCAATCAAACAAAGTCCCTACAAAACCAATACTTGAAAACACGATATCATTTAATTTCCTTGGTATGTTAAATACAATTAAAACAAAACTACATGATGAATTAAGGAATATTAGTACTCAGGTGAAGCTAACACGATATACCTGGAATAATCGACAATTTTAGGGTCTTTTTTTTATTCCTTCACGTTCCCAGTGGAACATAGGGCTTCAAGCTACAGGCTTGAAGTTTCTGTAGCAGTGTTTATTTTTTTACAGGATGGGGTTGCTAGCCTCACACCCAACCTTTCCTCTTCACCAGTTTTATTTCTGGCTTATCGAGGTAAAGGAGTGCGCCGATCGGGGACCGAACCCTGGACCATGTGTACGGTCGGCGAGCGTCCTAACCGCTACGTTAAAGGTGCGAAATTATGTCTAGTTTAACAACTCAACAGATATTTCAGAGTTTATAGAAATTATTTATGAAGTTATAACCAATATTTAGTCACAAGTGTTGGTTAAAATCTGTCTCTCAGATGAGTGGTATGATCAATAAGCTGAGGGATATGACACATTTTTGAAGTATATCATACGGTAATTTGAAGTTAGATGTTCTCGGGGAGGTAATTAGAGGGCAGACACATGCAGTCTGGACGCCCAGTTAGTTTGTATAACTCAGTGACGGAAGTAGTCTTTAAAACATAACGCTTAATTCAAACAAAGAGTCGGTGGCACAGCGGTAGAATGCTCGCCAACCACGCAGGTGGTTCGGGGTCCGATTCCCAGCCGACGCACTCCTTTACCTTGCCAAGCCAGTAATAAAACTGGCAAAGAGGGAAGGTTGGATATGGAGCCAGCAACCCCATCCCGTAAAAATAAAATACCACTGCTACCGAAACTTCAAGGCTCTAGCTTGAAGCCCTATGTTCCACTGGGGACGTAAAGGAGTAAAAAAATCAGGTTGTACTACCTATGTTTTTATGTATATAGATTTTGCACAATACAATCAGTTTATATCTTCGTTCACAAAAAAAAGTAATAAGCTGAATAATATGATGTCTTGCTTGTTGTCACTAATGAGATCTTGAGTAAATTAATTGCAGAATACCTTCATACGTCCGGATATTCAGCAACGGTTTCCATTTAGTTTTTCATACTGAAGTGAATTTCGAGAGAAAATACTCAAGCAAAATTAACTTGATAATATTTTTTTAAATGGCTGCTTACAAAATATACACTTTGCAGGGGAGGGGGGCAATTACGGTTCTCAGTAGAATTAATTTGGTAGGAACACTCCTATTTATGAATCATTTACTTAAACTGAGATTGTTTGTTTAAAAATATCCTTATGTATACATCCTATGAAGGACAAATAGAATAAAACATCATTTGAAATCTATAATTAATTAAATAATTAACATACTTGTTTCAAATTCTCATCCAAATTCAATCGAATCAGTTTAGGAAATTGTTCAATTAGGGGTACATGTATAAATCTATTCCCTGTAATACTCAGTTTAGTTAACTGAGGTAAATGTAAACGCCTGGGGAATACACGCAGTGCATTTTCTGATAGATCCAGTTCACGGAGATTCACACATTTAGCTAAATGAGTAGCATTGATGCTTGTATATCCGGAAGCAGGAACCGAGAGGATACGAATAGAATCCAAACTTTTTGCTTTAGTCAGATAGAGGATTTCATCTTCATCTAGCGGTCGATCATCCTCTTCTACAGATAAACTTAAAGGACAGTTTGCTGTAAAGAGAAATCGAGACAAACATATAAGTTAATGCATATATTTGGATAGATATATAAATATAGCTATGAAAATAGAGCACTTCAAGGGTACCGACTACTTTGCAGCAAAATAAACAAAGTAAGTCTCTGGATTTATCAGAATTTATCTTTAAATAAAGTTTTCGTTAGCAGTGCTGTTCTACTTTACGAATGATATTTAACAGAGAGAAACTCAAGTTCAGCAATGTGGCTATTCAGTTCTAAGTCTGGTTACTATCGAATGGTCTGTCCCATCGAGGGTCATTAGTAATCGGCAGTTTTGAATTGCTTCAGGGTTACAGATAAGCCATGCGCATAAATCTAAGTCTAACCCCCCCCTCTGACGACTAAGTCCTTTCCATATCGAACACTATTGCACAGACATGATGAGAAAGCCATACTCCGCTGAAAGTAATCAACAAACAAGCATGTAAGCAGCGAATGAAGATGGAGTAAAAGATCGGAAGTTACTACCATTAATCTAAGCAGATAAAATAAGAAAATACTATTATTCTTTGTTAAAACGTATTTCCTTGCAAACAAAAAATGAAGTTGCAAAGAGTGGAAGAGAGGATAGATAGTACTGGAGTTATTTGATTTCCAACCAAACATTCATAAAGAGTAATCATGAAAGCATTAATTCATAAGTAAAAACACAGTTTATTTTGTTCAGCGAAGAAATTTCTTTTCAACGACTTCATTTTCAAACTGTACAGTTGTATTTATATTACAGAAAAGGTTATTAAGTGGCACTAAATAATTGCTCAGTTGAAGTGGATAAATTACAAAATTATTATAACATTTTAATTATCGTTATTCTTATCACATATATGTATATTGACTGAGCAATTATTTAGTGCCACTTAATAACCTTTTCTGTAATATAAATACAACTGTACAGCTTGAAAATGAAGTCGTTGAAAAGAAACTTCTTCGCTAGACAAAAACTGTTTTTACTTATGAATAAATGAGTATTTTTCGTGATTTAAAAGCATTAATTTCCAAAGAAATTCATAGTTTGCCGCCTTTGAATAAAGGAATTTGCGTGTAGAGTTAAAATGAGCTTATCTATAAGTTGCTACACTTTGGCGAGTTTACAGGAGGTCGGTTGGTTCATTCTGTGAAGTCAGAACAGTGATTACATTTTATTTTGGCTTATTCTTGAGGGTATTAATCCCTCACAATCATTTAGTGTCTAATTTTAATTAGTTTTATGACTTTGGTTTTTACTGACATTTTGTAAGCACTTATTAGGACCAATTCTGACGGACAATGATTTTGAGTCACCTATAAGAATGGATGAAATTATCTTCCTGATATGAAAGTGAATAATAAAATGTATGGGATTGTGATTATCGGAAAAATTGATGTAACAAATTGAGGCTAACATTTTAAAATTTGTGTCATCTAGACTTACCTAATTCGTTGTCAGTTCTAGGATCCACAATGGTAAACTGTGCACGACCCAATTCTTCTAGCTGGCTGTCGGACAATTGAGCGATAGCTTGACTGCCTCCCAAAAGCTGGACAAGTTCGTTGCTGTCTAGGCCGGAGTGACCGAGTTCATCATCGAAACCCATCATTCCGCCACACAAACCCACATTACCACCCACTGAATCAACGTAATACGGAAGACCAGCAGAGATACCGGTATAACCAGGAAGTCCAGGAAACATATCAGTGCCAGATGATCCCAGGGAATCACCACTCGGATAAGAGTCACCTTGTAACCGGATTTGCACAACATCACTCGATGACCCTAGAGAACTTCCAAGTCCATATTTACTACCAAGTCCACGAGTTGACCTGAAAATCATATCCGTATAAAAAAACATTTGCACTATGACTGACGAATCCACTCTGAATAATGACACTGATACTGAATGAAAAGTTCTACACAAGAAAAATATTTCAAAGACACTGAGAACGGATTATTTATTAGTGTTAAACAGCACCTCTCGTAGCAAAATCTCCCTGCTCTAAATTGCTGTAAACTAGTAGTACGTTTTATTAGCAACATAATAAATACTACACTACTTAAATTAAAGAATCCGCAATATGTATGCGGAAAGTACCAGCGAAACAGGGCAGAAATAATAATTGCAATATCATAGAGTTTTCAAATAAATCGATGATTACCTAATGTGGGTGATACCTGTCCTATTTTTGAATTGTATTTTTTGTCGTGGTTCCACTTGGAGCTTTCACCCACGGAACCTGGATGCATTCTGGCAGCTTAAATTGCATCTTAATCCACGACTGATAGGTTATACTTCAAATGCCAAAATTCAAGTGGAAAAAATAATGATTAGAATAACTTAGCGCCAGTCTTTGTCAGAGATGCGAATTTAAATGCACAGACTGAATAAAGGTTTTCTTGTATTTCCCAATGAATGAAAAACAAAACGTTTCGCTATTTAATGCTAATAGCTTTATCAAAGTATTATTAGACCAGAATTTACAAAATCTTAGCATATATATAACAACTTAATCATCCTTCCTCAGTATGGGGTCATTTTTCGTTGTGGAACATTGAGAAACGATGATTAAGTTGTAATATATATGCTGAGATTTTGTAAATTCTGGTTTAATAATACTTTGATAAAGCTATTAGCAGCATTAAATAGCGAAACGTCAGTAAAAAAAAATATCGTTGTTTTTCATTCATTGGGAAATACAAGGAAACTTTTACTATAATGAATATGATATACCCAATTTTTTTCAAACTGTTAAAAGTGAACTTGGTTTGGACATATATAGCACAGACTTCATTTTGTAATAGGTGCTAACACGTGGTGTGACAATTACATCATTATATCTCGATGGCTTTTGAGTGCTTGGATTTATTGAGTCACAAAATATGATTGCATCATTAGATATTTCAAATTGCCGACAACTAAATTCTTATTTGTCTTGTTTACAACCTGAAGTAAGAATATGTTGTTATTACTCAGTTGCATTGTATTTTCTTCATATTACACTAAAGTGTAGTGCTTAATTAGTATAAGATTTTCTACAACATTTGAAAGTTGAATGTCAGTTAATGACTGACTGGTTTCAACATAGAACTTTGCACAGATGTGCAGCAGTTCGAGTCGCCACACTCCATGTAGCATACAAAGCCAGAGAAAGTAAGAGGAAATGCAAAATAGAGATAGTAAACAGAGATTCGAGGCGTAAAGAATAGTAATGTCGAAGAACAATATAGTTTTATCGGGTATCATAAGTCACAAGGAGTGGATGCATCTGCGTCATTGGGAACGATGAATTTGAGTCATATCATCAGTTGTCTCCAGCTGTCATTGGTTCTTAACATCCCGAAGACCCCAACCAGTCAGGAAGTCTACACCTTCCTACGCGGCTGGCTGGCTTAAACTAACTGTTGTGGACTTCATTGACTGATGAGACCATGTTTTGGTTTAACCACCACTAGCTTTCTCTTTTCCAACCTGATCCATCCTGTCAGCTAGCTAATGTTGCCCATTGTCGAGGAAGGCTATGGATCGCTGGTATGCATGCGTAACACATCTCCTAAACATCCAACTCAGTCGATGTAATTTCACAGCCTCGTCTATTGATTTCCCTTCCCTCCTCACCTAGCACTCGACCGATGCCTAACCTCAATATTGCTCACCTTATTATACCAATTCACACTATGGAGTTTTTCTCGGAGGGTTATAAAACCTTGGTCCGTAATAATGGTGCCCATGGGTCCTAGGACCCGAGATGAACAAATATACAAATTTGTATAAGTCATTGGGAACATAGCTTCTGAGGATAATATGTCAGTGTGAAAAAGACTCGGGTAGTGGACCCTAGAGACAACCATCCGCTGCATTCTGGGCGTCCAGATATTATCTTGATGCTCACATAAACCACGGAGGAACAATTCGGTGGGGATCCCGAGTTAGCTACGTGTGCCTACAAATCATCACACTTATTATTCCGCGGACAAGGTATCGCAATTATCCAGCATAATACTGTTGCTGTTTTTACATATACGCTACTTCATTTTACTTCTATCAACTTTAAATTCGTTACTGTTGCTGTTGTTGTCGGCTGCTTATTGTTTGGTATCTAACTTTGCGTATACAGTTGCTTCCAGAAAGTTAGCCTCTAGTGCGATATCTCACACCTGTCTCATTCAGGAATACCACAGTGTTCGCATGTCGATGAACATGGGAGGTTTTGTCAAAAACGTTGGGGAGTCGTGATACTTATGTCTTTTTTATTAGTGACCAGCAAAAAGAGATACGCAAGTGAAGTGCTCCAAGTGACTTTATGCAACATTTTGCCCACTTACATGAAAGAACTTCCCAGCTTTATAAAGTTCGACAGCTCTACAATTTTTAATCCACAGACACTTTAAGATAATGGGAAGTATACAAAAATTTACTGCTTAACACTAAACAAATAATCATCTGCCATGTTAAGAACCAACTTTGCGTGAATACATACGGATACAGGGACGCATGCAAAAATTCTAAGAAATGAATGGAAATAGTAGAGGTTACTAAGTCAAATTCAGAGCTGCACTATGCTTGAAACAACAAAATGTATCGATATATATATAATGCTCATATGACCACATTTTTATATTAATTATTCGCACAAAACCTGCCAGAAAATTGTTGTGACTTCCCTCTGTTAAGTCCCAACAACATAAGTGAATTAAATAACTACGATATACAAAGAACCCTTAAAGATGGAAGTGCAAACTTCAAGGAAAACTCACCCCATAATGCCGTCCATCGGCGATGACCTGAAAATTTGAAGCACCGCCTAAGCCTTGAAAGGTAACAATGGGTTCAAGTTTCATTTTTGTACCGTTCTCCTGAAATTTTAGAAAGAGACGTTCCGTTATTTACTAACCATATAATCTTGATATCAAAAAGGTTTGAATACAGTTCAGCCATTATTAATGGACTGTTGGGAGGTAATGAAAATATATTTGATTCTAATAATCATACACTGTTCCGAGTTATCTTCTACATCTTTTTGATGTGGAATTGGCTTGCAGCCACAAAAAATTATCTAAATTTATTGAGAAAATGGTATTAGAAGAGGGATTTTTCAACCAGTCTGATTTTCAAGCTGTAGAATCGCAGATGTAATTTTTTAAAAACTATATCCCAATGGAAGTTATGTGATAGATGTGAATGCTTATAATGATAATGTGAGTTACAGAAAGACAGTTTTGACTATAATCACAGTTAAGTCTTAAGAGCTGAAATCAGCTAGATGATACGTGCAATAATTCAAAGAATTATAGATCTTGGAAACAGGTAAACTAGTAATAGATGTAGTAGGCAAGTAAAACATTGCATAGCAAGTGTAGCGTTTTGGTAATACTGAGGCCAACACTGCGGAAAACGTACTTAATGAAACTAATGAAGCTGGTGACATCATGCTTTAGATCAGCAAGTTGCAAACAACTTTCTCTTCAGTTGCAGCGTGTGTGAGAGAATATACAGATATATGGTATGCTTTCGTGTGCTCAGTGTGCAAGAGTCGCGTCTTGGAAATATGGTGCAGCTCTCACAGAATTTAGGCGCAACTGAATAATATGGCATGCTCATCTGGAGGATGTTATTGTTAACGTGTTAACTGGATAATACATAGACTGCTAATTTGTGAATGTACGTTCTGAGACTGTATCAGAGGGAGTAGGTAAATTTTAATTTTAATTTTTTAGGAGATTTGGCTCGTTGAATTAAGCCAATGGATTTTGGCTAATGGGGTCTGGATTCCATTCGCGTCCCACGTTTTTAATCTTCGCAGCAATTAGTATGATTTCTAGCCAGGTGCTAAAAGAATCTGATCCGGGTATCTGAGTTTCAACTGATCTTAACTGACATGGTATTCTCTTCTGATTTCGGTTTTTTGTGCTGGCATTGAAACATTCTTTAATTCACACATCCAAGGTCTTCGTCATATTGGTTTGCCTATTAGTTCTCTAATCGACTTCTCAGACGTACGAAATGGCCTAATTCTTTACCTCTGATCTTTCCAATCTAAGTGACGATGACCTGTTATGCCTTTGGTAGTGCTACATGCCTGATTTCTCCCGATGAATGTTTATGTATCACTACTGCTACTACTACTGCTATCTGACTGCCTTGTTGTCTGAATTTTGGCTACTGTGACAGTACAACATTACTACATTTGTAGGAAAAAAATATGTACCTTATTATATTATCATTACTAACCATACTTACTAATCGTTTGTGTAATTTATCAAATTCATGATGCCTGTAAACTAGCGTCCCTCATGTACAAAAATGAAAATATGTTATTATTACTACCACTCCTCTTCTGCTTGCGTACTAGATTTATTTTGTACTTAGTATGGAGATTACCTCATAATTCAATTATAAAACTGTACATTTTCTTAATGGTCACTGTCTGATTACGTAAAGCCATTTAAATGCCAGCAGACACAGAAAATCATGCTATGCCACTTGCTGAATTTCCTTCTAAAAGCTATTCCGTTTTCTCTTAGAGCATTTATATTCCACCCCAATTTTCGCCCAAAGCTGCACTCTAAAATTACAAAACTGTGACTGGAACCCAACCAATCATTATTAGAAAAAACTGGACAACCTCCTAGCAATTTCAGAACCAGCCCTGTGATCACTGCCACCGCCAGTTAGAAGGTGTTGTGTGCGACAATATCAGCAGATCTAGTAACCTATTTTCTGTTGTTTTACATTTCAGGTGGGGGTGAGAAGATAGTCGGTTACTTAGTACTTGCGGTACACGACGTATTTGCAACTTTTTGAAAGGAATGAGTTATCATTTCCAGGGTTAATCTATCATATTATTTAGGTTAAACTGGCCAATTAATTAAATTATGACAGAAGTCCCTGTCAGCAGACGGCAACTGACAAACTTGATATATGTTTAGGTAAATATCAGGTCCCTGGTGAATGCTGACGAGTAATTACAGGCTAGTAAAGAAAGTTAAGTGTTGAAATGAAAATGAGGCAGATATTTTCCTGGGCTTCACAAAGATTATTAACGGATATCAAGGCGTCGATTGTTTTATTCGTGAGCGAGAAGTATTGCAAAATCCCAGTTGTAAACCCAACAATCTTAGGTGTTTTCAAAGAACTCAAATCTATCAATCTCTGTGATTCAACCATCAGTGATTTTTGATTTGCTACGCTTATGAAACCATTTTTTAACGTAACCAACACACAAAAAACCAAACGAAGGCATAGAGTCCTACATGATATCAGGGCATGTGCCCAACTAATACTGCAACCGAATTGTTTAGCAGAATAATTCTTTCAAATGCCCCGTGGTCGTCGCGACTTTACTTGGCAATGCAAAAGGAATTAGTGCATGTGAAAAAGCTTGGAGACTATCATGCTGTGGGTGCAAAAATTGTAATAGATAGATATATGGGAACTTACATTCCTTCTCCTTCACAAAATGTGCGAAGTGTGGAGATTTTTTCAAGAGAGTGGCCTTTTGATCATTACAGGATGGTCGTGGTATCCCACAACATAATTGTAGTAATTCCTCTTCATTTGTCTGTGTTCGCATGACCAATATATAAGTTAGCCAGCACCACATAGTGTTTTCGGCGATCAGAAAACCAGTCTTATGGTTTAATATCTGCTTTGTGTAAATAGGGAAATATAGTTGAAAGAAATAACCACCGGGATTTAAACAAATTGAATTACGTTGCCACCGAAACGAGGATGGTCTCAAGAAGTTAGTATCTACTTTCTTATTGACTAAAAAGTTGGTGAATAATTCTGACTTCTGTTACTTCACACATGACAAGTACTTAGTGAGGTGTAGTTATGCTTTTGAGTTTGATTGCATGGGTATAAAGTATTATGAAATTCCTTATGTTTCCCCTAAGTTGTTGGAAGTAGAAGCTGTTACTTTTAAAGAATGTTCGCTTTTCAAAAATACTACTTTAATCAGTTTCTCACACAAACTTAAATGCCTATCAACTGGTGTCAGTTAGGTTATCGGAGCCGCAGCCCACTTTACAGTCCTCAGGCTATCACACATAGACACTGCCTGATATTCTATTAGAAGGCAAAAGGACACTTTGAAGAAGTCTGGGCGGGATATAAGAATATGAATAATTAAAGTATGAATGCTGAGTTGTAATTTGGAGTCTCAGTATCCTTATGTACTGCGCTAAATGAACGATTTTCGGAGATCCGTTTGATCTATGATTATCTATTGTCTCACTGCATTATCTTACTAGCAGAAATGTTTATTGAGATTACTGCTTGGTTTAAACATAGTGAATCCGCACGACGACGCCCAGAGCATAATCTTCACGCAATAACTACGTAGCATATATATGGGTGGGTAGTCTTTGGAATTGCCTGAAGGTGATAACAAAAGGTGTCTCAGAGACATATGTGTTAAAAGATGAACACTGATGAAACCCGGATGACAGGTGAGTGGTGATGATAAGGCTACCCAATGGGATACATGCAAATGGAATACAAACACCGTATTGTTGTTATCGTTATTCGGTCCCAGAGTTCTAAGTGAGATACATAGCTTCAGTAGCACATCTCTATTTCAGTCGTTCCCTTGATGTCATTTTCATCTGGCCCTACCAATGAATACAAAGTTTAACTGCCTTATCATCGGATGATCTTTATGTCCCCTTTTGATGCTTAGCTCTCCGGTTTTCATATGGTTCCGCTGGACATCTGGCATGCTACGTTACTGAAATATGTCCATGGTGTATGTCCAGGCCACTCCCATTCTCTTCATCATATTTGTTGGAAAGTCTGTTGTTGGCTGTCTCACCAACGGGGTTCGCTGTCGCCTACGATTTTCAGCCGCCCATTTGATCTTCAGCATCTAGAGAAGGTAGGTGTTGATTAAAGTCTACGGACTGATTGAATTGCACTCCTTCACTCCCGACGTAGGAGTACTGATTGGTATTTATGTTAAAATTGCTTGTGCCAAGTGCTACATATTTGAATATTAATTTCAGAATAATGGACGTCTTTCTTGCTTTACGGACTCTGTGTGTCTCCGAAAACCTCGTTCGGGCAGCCTGTAGTTTATGTGCGTCGGTGGCACAGTGGTTAGGTCTCTCGCCGACCATGCACATGGTCCGGGGTTCGGTCCCCTGCCGACGCACACCCGATATCTATGGTCGGCCTGCAAAATTTGGGCTACCGATATCCATGCTGAAAATTCCATACTTGTACTGAAAATACGGTGTGGCATCAAGCTGTAATCAAAAATATAAAAATATAAAATATAAATATACGACTCTCCGAGTAAGGTAAGTGATTTCTGACATTGACGGTGATTGTTATGTGACAGAACACTACTTATTAACTAGAATTTAATTATGGATGTTTCATTGTAAAAAGAAAACAATGTATTCAATGACTTTATCACATTAGTTTCATTGAACATTGAATGACTAAAAAGAAAAAGGCTTTTCTTCTGATTTATGGCATTTTGAAACTCCGATGCAATGGATTTCTCATACCTATTCCGATTTTTAATTGTTTGGCCACGTAAAGTAGAGAACTAATCATATATTAGTGTGGGTTGTTTGAAGTTGACCTGGGATTCATTTCCGCAAAGTTGCCAGTGTTTTTAACTGACCAAAAATTGTTGATTAAATGAAGCTGGGTAAGTGTTACATCGCCGTGTTGTCATCTCTTTATTCGCCCACAGTTCTTTTAGTTTTTCTATTATATACGATATTATGTTCATAGTTTTCCTTGTAATGTTCGACATTACCCTGGAGTATCGAACCATAATCAAAGGCTGTATGTTTAGTCAAATTAATGCATCACTAAGTATTCGGATCTCAAAATAAGGTCATGGTGTAGTCATCACTAGTAAAAATACCAGAGTGATATGTGATGCTGCTTCTGTGGGAGGTAGATCAATCATCTGTATTGTAGACCGAAAGTCTAGAACTTGGAAGCTCAGTATGTGCTAACTGGTTTGACTGCATTCTGTTAATTGTGTCAAACAACTGACAATTACGGTATCCCTTTTCTAGTCGTATTTACGGGTTCCTATTTCCATGTCTTAAATGTGTATTAATCGTGTAAATCTTCAGGTAGTACTGGATTGCATTAGTCAACTTATTGCCTTTGGAAGGTGCAGCCCTCAGTATATTAAAGTGAACCAGTCCTCCTGCCACTGCACAAGTTCTCTGGTTGTAACACTGATATGATATTGTTGTTAGCGTCTGTGATTGTATCCTTAAACTTCGACTTTCAGTATTAGTCCGTCAAGCCTACTAAAGTGTTGGCAGTTTATGAATAGGCATAGAATAGCCTATTAGTTGGTTTCCTATGAGCAAGAATCAAACCAACATATTTGTTCCAACTATTTCCACCATACAAGTTCAGGAATACTGTAAATTTTGAGTGCTAATTGTAAACTGTGTTTCCCCACTTGGAACTAAAATGCGTACCTTTCCTATTATCCTCATGATTATTTTGTAACCACTCCGTATCTTCATGTTGGTTATATCTCGTCACCTGCAGTTATAAAAATTCAACCAGTAATAATTAATTAGCTGTGTTCCTTTGTTGTGGTCATTGCTACGACTTCGTCGTTGCGTTATCATAGATTGTGGTTAAATGTCCCGAGATGTGGAACATAGGTCAGAGTAGGAATTATTCTCATACTGCACATTCGCTTCCTTTAGCATGAAAATTACTAGTGGCTATTGCACACATGGATGTTATTATTGGGAAAGACCATTGTTCTTTGTGACTATGGTTCATTAAACTGATCAAGTGACTCATTGTCTGTGGGCACTTGATTGAAAAACTGCCTCATCTGTGTTGATTTGGAGTCAATTTAGGTGTAGATCACTGCTAATGATATTTACGTTTACGCTCATACATAGTAAATGACGTTCCTAACACACTGTATTCATCACCTCCAACTCCAAACTACTCCTGCCAGCCGTGGTCGTCGTGGAAGGCGTCAGCTCTGCACGCACGTTCTATTGAAGACAAATATTATACCAAACTAGGTTTAAGACTAGCTACTAAGCATCCAAAAAGAGCACAAAACACTGGTTGCACCTGTAATATCCTATGAAGACAAGTAAAGTCTCTTGTAAACATTTGGTTTCTAAAACTCCCGTCGGACCATTTGCTTAGAATTCTTAAGGCCTTTACTCATAAAATGAAATAACCACTATGTACGACTTGTGAGACTTATTGCTCATGACTGAATAAGGTCATCGGTTGTCCCGCTCTATTTAGACCGTGTACTGGGAAATTTCCGGTGTCAGAGAGGTAGTCTGGTAGTTTTTGATAACCTGGGAGGGTACTGTCGAAATCGTGCTTGCTAGTTTGTCAGTACATATCTAGATTTATGCGAAAAACTATTCGCCATTTATGTTCTCAATACTGTTGCAAGATTAGAAAGTTTGTGCTAAACGAGCAGCTGGTGTCTTAATGTGGTTGTCGGGTTTGCATGTCTCAGTGATTCGACTAGCTGCACTGACTGGAACCAATGGTCCTGCAATCCCTACTTGCAAGGGAGGTTGGTTAGATAACTGTTGAGTCGAAAGTAGTTGCCATCATAGTGCAGGTTATCTACACTGTTAGGGGTCTCGATGGAGTGCCGTGCTGGTTTCATCATAGAACTTTGCACAGATGTGCAGCAGTTCGAGTTGCCACACTCAATGTAGCCAACCAAGCAGAAGAGAGTAAAGGGAGGTTCAAAAGACATAATAAACAGAATTGTGAAGATAAAAGAATAGTAATATGGGAGAACAATAGTTTTATTGGATATGACAAATCACAAAGAGTGAATGCATCTGCACCATTGAGAACGACTTTGAGCCATATCACAGACTAGTGTGCAGTGATAGGTATTTTCCGCACGACTAGGAAACAAGCCACGTTACCTCTCCGTTATAGTGACGGAGCGTTAAAAATGTATCGAAGTTTGTTCACCTACCGACCCTGCTGAGGTCTTAAGCCGGTGATAAGGTCTTCTTACGAGCAAGTATTATATTATTATTATTGTTCCCTTGGGTTCCTAGTGGAACATAGGGCTTCAACTGCACGCCTCCACTTGCTTCTGTCTTGTGCTGTACTTTTCACTTGCATCCATGTTAATCCAGACTGTTTCAGTTCCTCTTCACACGATCTCTTCCATGTCATACGAGCGAGTGCACCATTCCAACTCCAAAAGAAGCTGTGCTCAGTATGCTTTTTCGCTTCCAGGTACTCCCAAGAGTAATTGGCTTCTGTTTACTCTTGGCAATGTTATCATGTCAGTAATTGCCAGGTCTCAATGCGCCTAGGTAGAGTGGGGGAAGGCACCGTCCAATAGGTGGTTACCTTTGGATACTGGCTTAAGTCTTTTGAGCATGTATTAGGAATGTTGCTGGTCCTGGGACTAGTTAAAAAATCGGAAACGTGCTCAGCTCAGTCCCGGGCGATCATGTGACTCACTTGCTAGAGACCTAATCGGATATGACTCAGGATAGAAATTAGTGGTAGTCATACTGAATTTTCGTCTACCTTCGAGAATAATATGAGGTAATAAATGCTCCTTTAAGTGTATTTGATAGGTATAATTGTACCCTCGAATTTAATACGTAACACTGGATATGCTGTTGGATTGTTGAATTGCTTTTTGGAGTGCTATTCTTAGGTTCCAGAGATCGAAGTTCCATTCTTTTCGGAGCAGTCTCACGTACCATAATTCATTTGGAGCCCGTTTCCACTAATTCCAAACAATTGGAGAGCCCCTCCAATTTCTGATTTGTTTTGTTTTCTTTGCCTTCATCTACCACTGCTTATGTACGTCGTGAAAAGTCTTGATCAGTTTACATTTAAATGGTATTGGCTGTTCTATCATTTTCGTAACCTGCTGGAATCAATGGACGAGATTACAGAATATCCATTGACCTTCACCAACTCTTGTTGATGTTTTATAGTAAGCGTTCATTGAACATACATGTTATGTTCAAATCACTCAAGTTAGTGTAAGTTCATGGCTACACTAACTGAATAACCCTTTTACTCACACTGTTCAAGAGCTTTGTTAGCAGCTCCTCTAGAGCATGTATTTAATATGTCCATTTACTGAACTGTTGCTTCAAACAGGGACTCACCAATAATTACTAAAGCAATTTTATTCGCCAACCACGTGTTTTGTGAATTTGGGAGTGAGCCGTACATTATAATAATACTGTCAGGCAGCTCAAATTTTGGTAATTAGTATGATAGGTTTTCCATTAGTGAACTATAACTACAGATTTACCTGGTAAGGTGTGGTCAGTTTAATAGTACCTTACTTGTGAAAACATGATCTAGTGCACATACCTAAACGGAGTTACTTGGATATGCTGGTAATAGCCGAAGAAAGTGAGAAATATTTGACACCTGACGTAACGAACTATTTACGTAGAGATTGCTCATGACTGCTCCTTTCTTTCTGTAACCTTTTGGTTTTTATTTATATTACTTCAGGTTTTAGTTAGCGATGATGAAGTGCCTCAAAGTTGAGGATGCGTTATCTTATCTAGACCAGGTCAAAGCGAGATTCTCTGGTCAGGGGGCAATCTATATGGACTTTCTTGATGTCATGCGTGATTTCAAGGCTCAAACGTAAGTCTGTCTTTCAGACCTTAAATATTTCTCAGAATTGGTACGGAAGTTGTCATTCGACGGGTGCGTGAGCTGTTTGAAGGTCATCCTGACTTGATCACTGGATTCAACACTTTCATACCTCAAGGGTATCGTATGGATGCTCCTCCTACATCGCATCAGTCTTTTAACAGCAAACCTACATGCACCGTTATCCCATCAAGGACTACATTATCAATATCCTCATCCGATAATGTAACTCCGGTAAAAGGAGTTTGCACTTCGCTAAAAGTTAGTGAAGCAGTGAGTGAATGGTCACCACCAGGAAGTTTAACTGGTGTAGCCAGCAGTCAGTTCGACGTTTCCAGTCGCCCAAATGTTCATGTATCTGTTGTCTCTAACTGCTTGCCACTGTCAGTTTCATCTCCACCTATACGTGCTTTAACTCCTAATATTCAGCCTGATAATCTTAGTTATAACTCGTCAACTCAACAACAGTTTTTGTCGACAGACTATCAAGAGAACTTTTCCAATGTCATTGTTAGAAACTCACACAATACTACAAGTTTACCACAATCTCCTCACGTTTATCAGCAGAACCACCAGTCATTCCATCATGCTCTCCAGTATGTGAATAAAATAAAGGTAAGTGATATTTACTTCATACGAATGGCGTTGGTTCAGAACCGGTTCCAAGGCATACCTGATGTCTACAAACGATTCCTCGATATATTGCAGTGGTACCAAAAAGAACAAAGACACTCAGATCCTATGTGTCGTAAACAGGCCGAATTACAGGTTTACCAGGACGTTGCCAAGCTGTTTGATGGCCAAGAGGATCTACTTCAGGAATTCAGCCAGTTCTTACCTGAATCCTTTGGCGTTACGAGTGCTGTGGTAGGTTTTTACCGTTTAAGTTATCCTCCTGTTTTGTAGACTGAAACGACGATAAATAGGAAGAACTCTGGCTATTCACAACTCAGTGGGTCAGATTTACTAGATCCGTCTGTTCCAGTGCCTCAGTTAATAAACCGTGTTTCAGAAGGCATCAACCTAGCGCTGTCTTCTAGACAGCGACCAGGTCAAGAAGCTGTTCCTGCAAGTGTGGATTCCAAAAAACTAAAGCGACTTGCTCCTGCACCAAATGCTTTTCAGAACAGTGCCTCAGCAATTATTCCACCCAAGAAATCTCGTTCTTCAGTACGAGATGTAAGCATTGTTGATACAAATCAACTGACCACAGGGATTGGCGTGTCACTTTTGCAAAAGGTTTGTTAATATTATAACTAATAACCTATCTGCTAGATTCGAGATGCTTTGGATGCTGACAGTCCAGTAGGGAATCGTTCCTACCAAACCTTCCTACAAAACGTTTGTTTATTCAACCGTCGGATAATATCAGCTGATGAATTGTTAGAAACGACACATCCTCTATTTATAAGACATGTAGACGTGTGGAGACGCTTCAGTGATTTCATCATGGTAAGTGCGCTTGAAATAAGTTTATATTGTCGTGGAGGTGATTATTTATATATTTTGTGACATCATGTATGGTATAGGACTACATTTTATAAGTTTCCAAATCGTAGATGTTACGAGTTCCCTGGAATAATTTTGACCGCCGAGTCAGATTGAATCACAATGAATTATTTAAAATAATCCCAGCGTGTTTAAAAAGAAATCAAAACAAGATTTTTATGAACGTTTCGCTGGGTCAGCCACAGCTTTTCTCAGCAGTAGGATTATTCAGATTTTTTATTAAGCAACATCAAAATATATAGTCAAAAATTACAGAAATTGAAATCAATTTCATTGAAGGTCACTTGTCGATAGACATTTGTACCAATAGAAGAGTGTAAACAGTCATCATATATTTATAATGACTAATGTCAAATTGTCATATATGCGTATTTGTCTGTATTAGTGTGTATGTATATGTTGTTTGTTATGTACAAAACACGTCAAAACATGATAATATTTCATAATACGGTCATAATATAGGATTAAATTTGTTTTTCCCCCTCATCTCTCTTGCTTCATTACATCTTGTTAATAACACAAAACGAAAAACGTGTCATCAGCAGTCTTAAGCACTTGAAACGTGATAGTTATAAAAATGACCGAAAAACTATAATGTGATTGCCTAATCTAACAAGACTACGTTACCTGCGTAATTAAGTTAATTTAAACATCCCCCTCACAGTATCAGTATCAGTATCACTGTGCATATCCAGTCAAGAAAGCAATTCCGATAAGGACATCTGCAACAAATGAATTTAGTATTACTGAAGACAACTGCTTGATGTCACTGCACAGTTAACCGTAGACCCCAATATGATCACCAGTTATCAAGCATAGAATTCTCAGCAAGGTAAGGTGCATGTCTGACACACTTCTTAGAGAAGCACTGCTATACAACCTATTAGTCGGTGAAGTCAGATTTCACTTTTAGACCAAGATATATATATATATATATAATAACTGGCGTCAACATGTGTATATATCTATCCCACCATTTAGTAGAGAAAACGAGATTTAGTTTGCTCAGTTTTCAGTTTTATTCTCCTTATTTCCACTTGGGCAATAAGTAATTATAAGGTTTGTAATTCAAAAGATTTCATTGACTGCACTTCCATGTTTTTGTCATCCTAAAATTCATTTCTTGAAAATGAAAATTATTTATTGACGCTAGTAAGATGGAATCATGTTTGGTTTTCATAGTGGAAATAAAACTTATTGTAGCTATTTGTAAGCCATGCTTATTGAATGGGATATTAGGCCCTTTGGTTCTTTCCCATTGCCCCATATGAAGTGACTCACAGTCACACCATAGGGTGAAATAGAGTAGTAGTTGTAAAATCCTAATATATTTGCTTGGGAAAATTTAATCACCGCATCTTCATTCATCATTTAAACCACCATTTTGAGAAACCATTTTCGGGTTAACTGTTTTTTAACCTTTCTCTCTTATAAAGAGCAAATAAATTACATAAGGACTCAATAAGAATACTATCATACAACTGTCTGTTTAGCCAATGTTACATTTAACACCGTCATAGTATAAATTGCTTATATTATCATTTGTGGTCTGTGTATACCTCTATTTTAACCGACATAACTCATTATGCTACAATGATGTGGATGTTTAGCCAAAACACTCAAATAACAAGCAAACTGACCATGTTAAAGTTAAGTTTGGAGTGCCTCTCAAACGATGGGATTGTAAACATGAATCGGTTGCAATATACAGAAACCAGTTATGTTCATTATAGTGGAGATGTGATTCCTTGGCTTAGGCACTCGACTTTCAGTTAATGGGTTCCGCGTTCGAGTCCTGCTCCACCTACTTCAGTCTAAGCAACTGGGTAGTATCATTAGCTCTCACATAATAAATGTAGCTCATAACCCAGTACTGGGTAGTTGAGTAATAACTAACTAGTTATGTGTTCATATTGAATGATTATTGATTTCATGTATCATATGAAATAAGTGAAATATAAATGAACTGAAAAGAGGTTGGAAGTAATAAGATCAGGATTTGTTGATATTGTGTAGGATCAATAATCATTAGTCTGTGGCTCACGAAAAAACTTGATTTTTTCGTTACTTTACTGACAACTTGTTACTAAATTCCAGACGAAATTGATGATAATATACAAGAGAACAGCAATATTGGGTAAAAGATGAAAGTATGGAATTATGCAGTTTGTGTGGATTTCTTTGTTGTTGTCAGTGTTATGCAACCATACATTTGTTGATATCTTTTTTTTAACCATTTAGTCATCACGAAATTCATCCCAAGAAGGATTTGGACAACTTCAGTCTCATTCTCCTGCTTACTCCCGAGACAGACATGATCGTGACAAACATGGTACTTGTAATTTCCCATGTGATTCTCATACATGTCCTGATTCTCTATCCAACAATATAAACAATCAACCGCCTACATCATTAGTCTCACTTGTAAGTGAAGTATCTCAAAAAAGATTGGATTTGGATTTCACTAAGCTCCGAAGTTGTGGTGTAAGCTATCGAGCATTACCATCGAATTTCCCGCAGAGCAAATGTTCTGGTCGGCAAAAATGCCCAGTTGCGAAAGAAGTAAGCCAGCTGTTTTTATTAGTATGCTTTTGATATGGTCCTTTGAGTTGGATTGTTTTGTTAACACTATTAGAAATAAGCGTAAATACAGGTTTATAAAATATCTGCATTGCATTGTGTTAGTATTACGCAGCGTACTTTAATTGATGGTTAAATTGTACAGTATATAGTGGTTTCATTATAGTATTGGTTTTCAAAAATTTCGATCACAGACTTCAAATTTGTAACTTCGCTTGGTGCGTAATCTTGGTTTCAATTTGACATCACTATAGTTATGAGTTTGTTAATACACACCCACATATATATGTGTGTGGTTAGTTAGTTAAACATATTAACCTATTGTTGTTGCTTTACTCTTTTAACTCTCACGTGTGTGCTGTTGGTGCAATGACACTCTTAATCGATTCGTTAATTATATATATATATATATACTCATAGTTTTCACACTAACTATCTCAGCTTTAAAGATTTCTCATAGAAGACACTAGTAACATTAATGTATTCCTCTAAGATTATATTTTCACTTTTTTGTTGTCACCTATCTTTTTGTTTATTTTTTTCAAAGTTGTTTTTTTACCGTCACTACCATTAATGACGTCAAATTAACTACTTTGTTTTCTATCTCTCTCTATATTATGATGATATATACTGTAACAAGGTGTGTGTAGTTAGGAGTTGGACAGCTTGTTGTGCGTTTGATATATTCTGGACACTGAGAGATGATGATAGCAAGCAATCAGAGCATTGTGATTTGATCACATCAATTTTTCAGAATCCTTTTCCACAGTTGGAAAAAAAGGTTTTTTCTATCAGTTATTTTAAGCCCAAGTACTGAAAAGTAGTTATTAATGTGTTGTATTACTCCCTCCCTGGAGAGTGATTTTCTTTTTACTTTACACTTCGCACTTCTGTCACACGTTGGAAAACCTTAAAGGATGTTTATGTCAACAGTTCCTTATAGCTGACAAGCTATGCAAACTATTTTCTTATTTTTGATGATAAAGCATTATTGATCTCTATACGTGTTAGTCACTGATCATTGTTCCCTTTTTGATATTTTTCGGTTTTCCTTGTTTTAATACGTAGGTGTTAAATGATTCGTATATCAGCTTCTCTTCGCTTACCTCCGAAGATTCTCAGTTTGTATCATCTAAAAAGAATCAATATGAAGAAAATATGTATCGTGTTGAAGATGAACGTTATGAAGTAGACATGGTTACTGAACTCAATAGAGCTGCAATGCAAAATCTAGTTGTTGTTAAAAAACGTATGGATAGATTAAATAAAGAACAACTTAGTCAATTCCATATGGATGATAAATTAGGTGGAACATCGGCAATTTTAATGCGAAAAGCTATACACAGGTATTTGGCATTTGTGAATAATTTTATTTTTATTTTATTTTTGTTTTGCATTTTTAAATATTCTATGTACATTAGGATCTATTTATTTGTCTATTGATTTCATCTGTGTGCGTTGGTTGGTGGTGGTGGTGGTTCAGTGGTAGATTCCTCACCAACCAGCCCCATCGTCCGGGGTGGCCGACACACTCCTAGATCGATCTCTCTTCCGGCCAGCAGTAAGCTCGGTAAAGGGGGAAGGTTAAGTGTAAAGCTAGCGATCTCACCCCGTGAAAACGACCACCTCTACTGAAGCTCTAGAGCTCAATGCAAAGGAATAGAAATTAGAAAAAGAAAAAGCATGATTTCATCCGTGTGCACGAATCCATCCTGTACCATCCATTAAGTCTAATAATGTGTTTTGACCCTTTTAAGTCTGTTGTTAAAACACAATACTTGCATGCAAAAAATAGGACTTGTCTAAATGAAGAGAAACATTTGTTAAGAAGTGATGAAATACTAGTTTAAACGAATCAACCTTGACTTTTACTGATTATTAGTTGGTAATTAAAATTTAGTTTCTCCTATGGTCATCTGACCATCAGAAGTGTTCAGATATCCAATCACAAAATAGGCATTTTGAATATTCTTTTTGAATTATCCCTTCTGGAGAGTAAATTATGCGTCTGTTTTTCACTTTAATCTGTAGAATAGCTTCCTGGTTGGTATCTCAAATGTAAACGGATTAATAAAAAGAGGGTAAAAAAGAGATGACTGCAAAGTTTCGAGTTTCGATAGAAACAGACAGTAAACGTATGTCTCTCATCAGTTAGTACTTTAGTACTTATAGGTCTCGATCTAGCTTCATGACCGAAGTTTCGGCGCTCGAGCGGTTTCATTAGCCAGGTGTTGTATTAACCTGAATGATGTAGGTATTAAGCAATACACAGGTACTGTGTTTGTTCGTTGTCACCGTCATAATTCCGCGTTATTGGTTCCATTCGTTGTATGTAGCATTGTATCATGTTGACTATGCCGTAATATGTCAGTGCCAGTGATTTCCACTTCTATGTTTGATCATGAATTTGTAGAATTCTACAAATAAAATTTGCTTACTCAAGGAAGTGGCATACACAACCTGTTACAAACTGATAGACTTATCCGAAGTTAAAATCGATTAGGGTGCCTTTTTTTAAAAGGACACTTGCAGAAAAATGGCATTTTTGTCTAATTCCAAGCATTTTATCAATTTTTCCTAAATCTCTGGATTACTTAGAATATTAAAGTAGCTGTAATCACTGTTTGTTCATTTTCTGGAACGCTATCAGCTAAGTCGTTGGTGAACCTGTTTCTACAGATACATTTATGTAAATCTCATCGCCTGTAACGATAATAGATTGATTCATGGAAAGGCAAATGATATTAGTGTTGGTTGGCGGGGATGCTTTCCCTGCAGATTAGTGATAACAAGGTGGTTAGAGACATTTAGCACGAATGTTCATTCAATAGTACATTTGGTTAACAATTTAAGCTAGACCTTGTGATACTTGTTCCTGTCTAATGGCCCATTGTTCTTCCAAACTTTATTTTATATTAATTATCAGTCATTATAGAATAATTTTGTATGATACAGCTCGCAATAACACATGCTTATTTAATATATTTTTATTTGGATATTTAGAGTTTATGGTGATAAAGCAGGTGATGTAATATATGGCTTAAAAAATTGTCCTAATACAGTACTCCCATTGGTTATACAACGTATGCGTCAAAAAGACACAGAATGGCGAGAAGCTATCCGTAATTATCAACGTTCTTGGGCAGATCAAGATGCACGTAATTATTTACGTTCTCTGGATCATCAGGGTGCAACATTCAAACAACGTGATGCACCTTTCATACGTAGTAAAACTATGATTAGTCAGATAGAATCTATCGCCCGAAATGATAAGGTAAGCTTTACAGTTAGTTAGAAAAAATATCTTTGTATTTTATTCTATTTAAGTGTATGTAAAAGTAAGACCAAAGAATATTTAATTGCTTTCTGTTCAAGGATTTGTTGGTTACCTGTCTTTCTTTTGAGATAAAGAAATAATAGAAAATTTTAGTAATCACCTTTGAGAGGGATTATTTTTCTTGACTCATCTTACCTGTCTTCTGATGGTCAGCTCAACTTGTAGGGTAAACACCAAGAGATGAATAACACCGGGATGTTACCTGGCTGTTATCATGGACTGTATGTGCTTTCTTGTTCTTTATTGCTTATTGTCTAAATCACAGCTAAATTATGTTGACTCAAGTACAAGTTAGTATACTAATTCACGAATGGCACAAAGTATATTAAACTTCGTGTGTCGGTGTTACAGCGGTTAGGATGCTCGTCGACCATGTACATGGTCCGCGACTCGATCCCCAGCCGACGCTAAACTCGCTAAACTAGAAATAAAAGCGGGTAAAGAGGGAAAGCTGGGCATCAGGCTAGCAACCCTATCCCGTGAAAATAAACATTGCTACAGAAACTTCAAGTCTCTAGCTTAAAGCCCTATGTTCTACTGGGAACGTAAAGGAATAAAGGAAATTATTAAACTTTAGGATTTCAACTGATTCCAACTCCTGTCAAATGCAAGATGATGCTATTAAACTGAACTGTACCAACTTTTATCTTAAATATGAATGAAGTAATGGAGTATGTTGACCATTTCACTTATTTGGAAAGTTGTTTCAGCTCCAATAGACTGAATCTCTTTTTGTCCTTCTCTCTTGTCTACTTTTGTGTGGCAACTTGAACTGAACTGCTTCAATTATTTGCTAAGTTCTGTGTTTGAACTCAGTCAGTCAGTCAGTTATAGATGTCTAGGTGGTACATAGCAGGTGTAGTCTGCACCCTACACTTTATTACTTGGGAACCACCACACTAAAATAAGGATGTAAACATGCTAGACTCATTGTCATTGTTGTAAATGTAATATTTATGTTTATTATGAGTTTCTTATTTAGATATATATGAGATATCATACAATGCGCATTGTATGTGTTATTAAATCTCATTCCATTAATTTCAATAGTTTGGATGGATGGATGAGCAATTGTTTTAAGTAATACGAACGTCATATTTCATCATAGTTTTGATGTTATTAGATAGTTGGAGACAATCGTCAGGAAGCCCAGTCTTGGACCTAGGTTTCGTGCTAGTTGGCACTCACCTGTCACCAAGGCGTATCTGCAACCAACTTGAAGGAACTCATGTCCCTTCAGAGATTCAAAACCTTGAGGTTGCAGATATGCCTTGCTGACTGGTTAGCGCCAACTAGCCTCCAACTGTCTAATATCATCAAATCAATGTGCACCGTGATGGCGAGCCACCTAGTGGCATGGTGGCCACATTGCAAACCTCACTGATAAAATTCAGTCTGCACCAAACCAGGGGAATAGACACGTCACACTAGTTACTGACTAGTGTCCAATCAAAATAGTTTTGATGTGCAGGAAGTTAGCTTTCTTAATATTTACACAATTACTGTTAAGATATGAAAATATAATCTCATCTTAATTTAAGTGTTTTCATGTTTCAATTTGAGTAATTCATTTAACATAAAAATGTGTTTGTTTATCTTCTTCTTCTTTTTTTAGCATTCATCGTGTCATTCTAGTTCAGATCCTGTCGGTAAAATGATCTCTACTTTGCTAACTCAACAAAATTTTATTTCTCGTGATATCAGTAATCCAGGATCTATAGGCTCTGCTTTAGCAAATGTATTAGAAGGGAATAATGAAGATGAATCAGCTCATTTAACATTAGTATATCCACCACCAGATATTAGAAATTCACTTTTAGAAGATGCTGCATCATTGATTATACATCATGTGAAACGTCAATCCAATGCAAGCAAAAATGATAAACGATCCATGAAATGTTTAGTAAGTTATAAAGGTGTATCAAGTGTACATGATATTATATTGTATTTTAACTCTTTTTGTTTATTCTTATAGATTAGGTTGTGTGTTTTTTTATAGTGGGTGGGAGGAGTAGATTTCTCATTTGTAAAGTGCAGTTGAATTAATCGATTTCTCGGTTGTTTTTTTTTCTTCAAAAATTTGTGATGAATCATTCGTACTATCTAGTGTTAAAGTGTTAGGTGTACTGAGTAGATCAATTTACAAAAGGCCTACTTGCATATAAGTGGGATTTTGCTAACTCTTCTGTTATTTTGCGTATGTTTCGCCTTGGTAACTATTATGGTTTTTGAACTTTGTGAATTTTCAAAAGTTTTATTAAATAAAAATAGGTAAATTGAGTGGTTGAAATTCAATTGTAGTGAAATAGCTTAATCTTATCTGACTCTTGGCATCCTGTTTGAATGCTTAAATGGCATCTATTGTTGTAACGTCAATCATTTAATTAGTTGTACTTATGATTGGACACTAGTTAGCAACTAGTGTAATGTGTCTAGTCCTCTGGTTTGGTGCAGACTGAATTCTATCAGTTAAGTTTGCATTGTAGCCACCATTCTAGATGGCTCGCCACTACGGTGCACTTTGAGTTGTTGATATTAGATGGTTGTAGGCAATGGGCAAAAAGCATTGGACCTAGGTTTTCGTGCAGCATTACACTGGATGCTGACTAGTGTCCAATCAAACGTATCCAATACAGTCCTACAGGAGGTCAGTCCTGAACCAAAACTGCTCAGTGACATTGTCTCTGACTGCAGTACTTACTGGGTTACGTGGGTTCGATTCTCAGAAGGGACATGAGTTCCTCTAAGGTTGTAGATACGCCTTGGTGACTAGTTAGTGCCAACTAGCACGAAACCTAGTTGCAAGGCAGGGCTTCCTGCCGATTGCCTACAGCCATCCAATAGTTGTTTTTCAGTATAGAACTTTGCATCGATGTGAAACAGTTCGAGTCGCCACACTCCAATCTAATAGTTGTACTTATAGTGAGTGTTCCTTTATTCACGTACAACGAGTCAAATTATTATCAATAGTATTGTTGCTCAATCAATTCCATTACTACAGTGTAATTCTGTTCCGAATTTCCAGCCAATAACTATTGACTTGGATAAGGTAACTTAGTTGTGTTATTGTTTTGTTTGAACTGTGCCATATGTCTTTTAAATATCTGACCTCGTTTAAGGTATATTATTGCTTTCAAAGTTTTCTGATATTAGTTTAGTGGAGATGTCATTGTTATAACCTATTTTATTCAATTCGCTTTTCCTTGAATCAAATGCTTGAGTAGCGTTTTCGTTTTGGTGAATCCTTAAAGCAATATTATTGTTGTACTTTAAAGCTAGTCTTCACTAGCAAACAGTATAATTAGATTATTCTCAGTATGTGATCAGCATTATTTTTCATGCGTGTTCTATAGTCGATACGATTACATAACAGTGTACATATATACAGATCAAAGCTAGTGAATATTTGTCACTTCGTTTTTTGGTGATATTAGTATCGCTAATCGGTGGGAGTAATTATTTCAGAAGGTTTAAGATCTTTTAAAGGATATAAGATGATGGATTTGTAAACCATAAAATGTAGAATTGGTGCAATGTGATCAAGGTATGTTGTCTTAGATAAGAACAGAAATACAAAAATAGTGTGACTTCATGTGTTGAGAAGATTTATCTAAGTATCTTTTACGCAGTTAGTATTGTTCACTCTTTTATTTCCCGATAATTTTCACCTTACATGACTTGTTTTTCACTTGTTTGCAGAATATCACAGAGGGGTTATATTTATCAGTTAGGTTTGTATTATATTGAAAACATTGTTTACCGCGCCATTGAAATTTGGCTTATCTACAGATAGTTATTACATTTTCAGTGATTAGTCTAGTTAAGACATATTTTACACATTTCTAATCACTAATTTCATATCAGTAAGGTAGTGTTGGTGCATATATATTGATTAGTATTGATCTGTGGTCGTTTATTATTATTATTAAAACAAAATCGCATAGTTTGTGTGGAAGCTGATATATAATGCTCGGATGTACCGACTGAAGCAGGGAGACTAAAGTCTGTTCACCCGTCAGTTGTACTAGGTCGTTTGTAGGGCATTTATTGTTGGTCTATCATTTTTCAGGTCTGTAGGATTTAGCGATTAGTTGGTCGGGATGATAGTCAATTATATTTGAAAAATCATACTGCTTATTTGCACTACACCATTTTTCTTTCACCCTGTCACTGTTTTTGTAAATTCTTTTCTTTCATGGAGGTTGTATAACAACTCATTGGATTTTTTTTCTTAGTTGTGCGTTCCCAGGATGGGTATGACCACCTTTACGGTTTTTTTATACCTTGTAAATTTCAATTTTTCAAATTCTTGACCTACTTTTTCTTAAGTGGAATGATGAATAATTTTATGAGCACAACCAATGAGTTCTTCTGTTTGGATAAAAAGACAAGAAATAGGGTCATGTTCTCATCTTGTCGTTTTACTTGGGGACAGGGGTGTGGGGGTGTTACTTGCGTTATACACTTCTCCGATACAGTGTCATCTAACCTTATAAAACTGTATTCGGTTCATAGTGTTTAATGTTTTGTTACTGATGAAAACGTAATATGGTATTTATAATTTTGGTATAAATACAGTGTTAGCAATGTCAGCTGACATAGGGTCAGGTTGGAAAAGAGCTAGCGGTGGTCAGACCAAAACATGGCCTCAGTCAATCAAATCCACAACAGTTGGTCTAAGCCAACCAGCCACGTAGGAAGGTGTAGACTTCCTGGTTGGAGTCCTCGGGACGGTAAACACCAATGACTGGAAACAATCGGTGATATGGCTCAAACCCATCGTTCTCAATGGCTGGCTCAGATGCATCCATTCCTTGTGACTTATAATACCCAATAAAACTATGTTGTTTTTCGATATTACTATTCTTTTTGCCTCATATCTCTATTTACTGTCTCTATTTTGCATCTTTTTTACTTTCTTATCTGGTTTTGTGTTCTGAGTTAAGTGTAATGGTTCGAACTGCTCTGCACATCGGTGAAAAGTTCTTTGTTAAAACCAATCAATCAGTTTTGGTTGGTATAGATCGGTGTTATTTACACTTAGTGGACTTGGAGAGTTTTACTGTACATTCCATTAATCCTCAATGTTTTATACTCTATTAATCAGGTAAGAACTGTGCTACAAGATATCTTTATGGCGAATCGTTTTCCAATGTCAGATGATGAAGACGATGAGGAGGATGAAGATGAAGATATAGATCCAAAACCGGAGGATGAAGAGCCAATCGATGAGATAGGCGAAAATGATGATGGTTGTCGTAATCGACCAGGACGAAATTTTAAATTATCAAAACGTTTTCCTGAGTCCCGTAAACTACTAATCCCAAGTGAAGAGACAGCATCATCAGTTGTTATGGATCATTCTGATGAATCTGATATAACTCGTAAAGATAATGTGAAAATGGAAACAGAACCGCTTATTGTACAAACTGATGATTTATCATCGAACCGATTAAAACCAGATGAAACGAATTTTCATTCACCTGGATTATCTACACAAAACATCTCCATATCTTGTCATAATAATAATAATAATAATTTAGAAAATTCCGTGAATGAACTTCGTAATACGGAACTTGGTTGTATGTCGAATTTACCTAAACAGGAGTACTATTCTGTACTGTATGGAAATAATCACTGGTTAGTTACATAACTTGATTTGCCTGTTTTTTTTGTGTATTTACTGTTGATTTTTTCTTCAAAACTTTCTCTATCGATTGATTATGTGATTTAAAATGGACTCAGGTGTATACGTTTTTATGCTTTTTTCTGTTGGTGTCTATTGTTGTATTGAGTAATATGTGGAATTATATCACATAACTACATGTCTGTGTATAGTAGGCTATTCCACTTCATATAGACTTATTGAAGAAAAGTAAAGATATCTGTTGTAGTAGAAAGTTATAAGAGATTAAGAAAGAAACATTCATGATTTCTAAGACAAAATAAACTAGAGGATTAGTTTATTTAGACTATATCGCACACAATAGGTATCCAAACTAGTCACACACACACACACACTTGTATGATTGCAGCATAGTATACGTTGCATGGATTCATCAGTCACTACTTCAAAGAACCACTCTCTCTAATCAGTGGATGGTGACTAGCAGCGGATTCCAGGATGCGCATTTCGTCCTATTTGAGACTCGTCATGTGGATGTACCTGCATTCCCCAGTCAGTGGGGGATGATGTTCCCACCGAGGCTCAAACCCAGTGCCTGTAGTTTCAAACGCTAAAGCGTTATCCACTAGACCACTTGGGACACGAGAGCCACCACTTCTTGTGCAACGGGTCATATTAATTATATTTAATTGAATTTTAGATTTTCCCGTCGATTGATTAGACCGAAGTGCGCATCCTGGATTCCGCTGCTAGTCACCATTCATCAATTAAATTCTAATCACGTGCCCAGACATTGTCGAAGCATCTGCACAAAAAGCCGACATATCAACCTGAGACCGAGCACTCCGGTCCAATCAATCGACGGGAAAATCTAAAATTCAATTAAACCGCTTTCTTTGTTTAGAAATTTTAGACTAGTGTTTCTTCAGTCATGTTTAGTCTACTTCAAATTGAAGTATGCTTTGAAGATGTTGCCTAGTAAAGGCAATAAACTATCCAGCTCATACAACACAACTACGTCAAAATCATCCATTTGAGCTACAAATCTCCATTATATGTGATTAATCTACTTCACATATATATTCTAGATGACTAAAACGGTTACGTAGACTGTCAGTAATAATCTGGCATATGTATTGTTAAAGAAGTTACAATGTTTTTAAAGTTGATGTTGAATGAGGGTTTCGTAAACCAGCCAAAGTAGATATGCTTGAAATCTATTTATCAGCTTAAGACATCAAGTTATAACCAGTGATACGCTTCTTACCATAAGGTATAATTATAATCGTAGACTTCGAAGTGATGTTCTTCAGTAGTACTCTATTCGAGTGTTGTTGTAAGTGTTAGCGTATTCGGTTCTTTTCGGTAAATACCTTTGTGTTGTTGTCTTTTCTTTCCAGTTGTGACATTGTACACCGTTATTCCCTTTAGGCATTTTCTTCTCTCCGTCATATGATTTATTGCAAACGCCTTACATTTATTATTATTTCAAGAAAAATCCTTCTGATCTACTGGTGTGGAATTGTAACAACCCCTACAAACTTCGGCAGTTATCATCAGATTTTGTGTGCTTCGCTGCTTACTTTGATTAACCTTATTATTTTGTATATAATCTAGAGAATCCAATTCGCTCATGAATAATTATACTAACTGATTTTGGTTGTTTCTTTTTTTAAAAACAATTTTCATTTCAGGTATGCATTTTTAAGGCTTCATCATCTCCTTTTGTGCCGATTGCATCATCTACGTACTCGTGGTGCAACAGCTGTTCAAGAAGCTGTTTCAGACAAAGATGAATATCATGTACAAGCGGCTGAATTACTTCATCTTCGTAGATACGGTAAGTCTTAACTTTAAGAAATATTTGACAAATTGGTTATACATGACTGAAAACTTTTGCTGATACAATTGTCATAATAATTATGTTATTCATTACTAAATAGCTTAGAAGAATATTGTATTCTGATCTTGAAATATGTATTTCTAGTGTGAAATGAGGACAAAAGCCGTGAAGTATTTTTACCTCACTACCGGAATTATTGTTGCTTGTTTTATTTATTGTCTGTAAGAGAAGTAGATTATTTCCACTGAGATGAATAAATAAATCAGATATAAGTCTAAAACTTGGGCATTGTGGTAGAGTGTTACTCACCATTATGGATAAGATTTTATTTTCATAAATCACACAGTGTTACACAGTAATTTGTGCTCGAAACGTCATCAGTTAATATTACTGTGTAACACTGTGTGATTTATGAAAATAAAATCTTATCCATAATGGAGTTAAATAAATCAGAGTTTATGTAGTTCGATTCTTCCTGTATGGTACGGTCAGAGGTGAATAGACTTCGGTCTTACCCTCGGAATGTTCTCATTTAGTCACGCATTCATAGCCTCTGTCAGGTAATTTCTGTTCAATACCTTCACACATCTGAAGGATTACTCACAAAAGTGAAAGGGTGAATCCGGACGTCTAGCGGACGTGGAAATCCTGACCTCAAACTTATGGTGTACATGGGCTGCAGAATTCGAATCGATCGAATGGCGTATGAACCACTAGAAACCATGGGAACACTGCTCCACTGCTTTATTAATCAGGATTCAAGTCAAAAATGGGGGGAGGAGCGGCCCCTTATGACCAATCACATGCTTCGGGCTGGGTGTCCAAGCTGTATCGTACCTGTCGCATAAACTGTCAGATTTTGTGTGGCGTCTTCCTTGATACTTATTATTGTTTAGTTGTATATTAAGTGAATTGATTGAATAAACTTCCGCATAGTTATATGTCGAGGAACAATTATTTAGTTTTTATAGGATTTGTGCTGTAATGGCAGTTCAACTTTTCCATTCTGTTGAACGAAGTAGTTTCTTTGCTGTCTGAGGTATCGTGTGTATTACAAATAGTTTGTGAACATCGTTATCATAAGTCATTTCACATGATGAAAATGTTATGATTACTTTTAGTGAAATTCTGATTAACGTATGAAAATTCATATTGTTTACATTATGAAGATTCATTTGTCATCCAACTTTTTTTTTGAGATCATTTATTTGCTCATTGCTCTATTATCATTTAGGAAGTTTAGAAAAGTCCAAGAAGCATTAAATGAACTTCCTAGGAACTTAAAATTCGATCTTCATCAATGATGAATTTCATACATTTATTCCCCTTAATGAATTTGAATAATAAAGCAAGAACAACAGTTTTTGCAGAATAAAGTGGTACCAACATTTATTTCGTTGCCTTCTCATCAGCTGCTTACTGGTCAAAGTCATTATAAGAAACATTATAAGAAACAATTTTAACATACTTGCACAGAGTTCATTTTAAACAAAAATCAGTCAATCAATGTATGCATACATTATATATGTATGCAATATTAAACACTGTTCCGAACAATAATAATCATACACAATGGAAACTTTTCAGCATTTCGCATTCGGATGAAAGATGAAACATATCCAGTTACCAGTGCAAAGAAAGACTGATAACCGCTTCTTTCTGGACGCATAAATCAGGTTCCAGGCGCTTGATGGAGATCGCTTCGGCAAACTTAGGGAGAATTGAGCTCTTTTGCCCATTGATAATTTTGAAGGATTTTGCGATGTCCACCTCATGACCCATGTCAAGGAGATGCCTGGCGATGGCACTGTTCAGACATAAACTTTTTGGTACATGTTCAGAAAATCGTAGATATGCCTTTCTTTCTGTTCTTCCAATGTAACTGCTCCTGCAGATACATGTAAATTTGTATATATATAGTTGGAGTTAACATGAGAAGGATATCTATTGATTTTTGATTGCATCAAAGAGCAAGTTGTTCGATAGATGGGAACGAGCTTAGCTTCAGGATAGGCTCTGGCTAGTGACGTACTCAGTCTTCTGTTGACCATTGCTACACTGTTTTCACCTTTATAATCAAGTTGAATGTAATTATGTTTTTTCTCCACTGTGATTTGTTTTACATTTGAGACTTCAGATCTTCCATACTTGTGAATGAACCTTTGAGGGTAACCATTGCTCTTCAACATCTTTTCAAGAAACACAAAAATAAACTCTGTGCAAGTATGTTAAAATTGTTGCTGTAGATTTATTTAATAGTGACTTTGGCCTGTAAGCAGCTGATGAGAAGGCAACGAAATAAATGTTGGAACGACTTTATTTTGCAAAAACTGTTATTCTTGCTTTATTAAAATGATGAATTTCTCTTTCAAAATTCAGTCAACTTGAAATGACTGTATATCTTCTTAATGTCTTCATTTTTTGAAACTGGTAACTTTAAAGAATTAAGTCATACACACAAACTTGCCATTTTTATTGGCCCTGATTCATCCATAAAGTCTATTCAAATTTTACAGACTGAAGCTAAATTATGTTTATTGTGAATCAGCTGACACTAATTATAATGCAATTTGATTCTAGTCCAAACAAGTATCAGGCCACACTTATGGATTAACCTACATTTTTGAAAAAAATTACTTTGTTCTTAAAATCATCACAAATGATGGTATTGAAGTATATTTATAGCTGTTCACTTCACTATCTGTGGAGTTTGATTTGTCATTCATTCTAGTAGACATTTTAAGATTATAAGGGTTGAAAAAACAACAACAATGACAACATAAATTTAGTTTCAAGTAGTATCTGTTGCAAATTCACTCTGTCATCACGTTAAATGGTTTTTGTTTTTTCCAAATATTCAGGTGGTACTGATCCATCGCAATACTATACTCATGCTCTCAATTTGGTTAAAGATCTATTGGATGGCGGAGAAGATATAAACACCTATGAGGATAGATTACGTGATATGTTTGGCATACATGCATATCCATGGTTTACTATGGATCGTCTTATAATTAATATAGTCCGTCAATTGCAAGCACTTACCAGTGGGGATGAATTAAGTCGTCGATTGACAGCTTTACATCGTTCTTGGGTCGGTAATTCAGCCTACAATGATCGAGGCATACAGTTGAATAATTCTGCGTCAAATTTTCCTCAGTATTCGTAAGTTTATTTTGGTTGTTGTTGACAAATTGTTGCATTCATATAATCCCTTGGGTATATAAGTGTATAGGTGTATAATTTCACTTTAGCATTTTTATGTAAGGGTTGAAATTCAACTCTGTCCTTTCATTTCTAGGATTTGTTTGAAAATAGAATTGATACATTTTGATGTTTTTACCTACTGGTTCAAAGTGTGAGTGTTTACGATTTTTGTATGATTGTTCATGATCTGAAAATGGTCAATTTTGTTTTCTGTTCTTCCTAGGGACGTTTGTGGTCCATTGTATACTCGTGTCTGCCGATTGGCAAATGAGAGTGCCTATCATTCTCAGGCTATGGCTATTTGTTCTTCTTTTGCTGGTACAAATAGCTCTTGCAATGTTGGTTCAGGTCCTGGAAATTCATATTCATCCAATACAGCCGGACAAAGCAACACAAATACTTTTAATAATAATAATGCTAATAACAACAACAATAATGTTAATAATCCTAATTCATGGCCTAATTGTTATTTAATTGTGGTACTCTCAGAGGCGTCTACTATGCTTATCCGTCTTATGAAACCTGCTCATCCAACGAAGTGTGAATCGGAGAAAGGTCATGATGCATGCTTCTATTCTAATCATATAAATTTTATTCCTTCAGACACGTCTAATCCTTCAGATCGTGAATTTTTGCACAGAGAAAAATTGAAATCAGGTGTTTCTATTCGTCATTGGCATGACTACCTTACAACACACCTTTCCTGGACTCTTGGATATGTTCCTCACAATATATGTTCACGCATTTTACCAGTATTTTTATATCGTACTGTCCGTAGATGTGTGAACGCTTTAACACGTACTGCACTTCAACGAAGACAACAGTTGGTAATTCAAACAGGAGATACACAACCTGAAGAAGTAAGCTTTTTTCTTTCTTTCTAGAAATGATGAGAATCGTTAATTTTTTATGAACTGCTTAAATTTTAGCTTGAGAATGATTGTTTTTTCATATGGTGTCATTTAAGAAATTATATAAGTGGGCTAGTCTGTGGGAAATCAGTGGACCTTTGGCTCATTGGTTTCGGTGACTGACTGACTGACTGGTTTCAACATAGAACTTTGCACAGATGTACAGTAGCTCGAGTTGCCACACTCAATTTAGCATACATAGCAGAAGAGAGTAAAGGGATGCTCAAAAGACCTAATATACGGAAGTGTGAGGATAAAAGAACAGTAATATGAGAGAACAATAGAGTTTTATTGAATATGGCAATTTACAAAGAGTGAATGCATCTACACCATCATTGAGAACGATGAGTTTGAGCTATATCACCACTTGTCTCCAACCTTCATTGGTTCTTATCATCACAAGGGCCCCAACCAGGCAGTCAACTAGTCTACACCTCCCTACATGGCTGGTTGGCTGGCTTAAACTAACTGTTGTGGATTTCATTGATTGATGAAGTCATTTTTGGTTTGACTATCACTAGCTCGACTTCTATTCAGTAGGTCATGGATTCGTATCCCGCCTCATCTAATAAGGTCTGGGCAGCTAGGTGGTATCACTGGCATTTACACTGTAGATGTGGCTCGTTGCCGACATACCTATAACTAAATAAACACGAGAAATCCTCCGAAATGCAACTGTAATATCGATCTTAGCAATATCATTTTATCTTAACCTCCTATTAAATATTTTGCCTATACGTTAAGACGTGTTCTATTATTTCAGTTGGTGTTATATTTTGTTGTGCTTAGTTACTATTAAACCTAATACTAGGAGACTTTTGAGCCTGTAAAGTAGAAGCATATTTCTGTCTCATAAATCAGATTTATTAATCTACTATTAATGTGCATATCACCAGCGTTGTATGACGGTTGTCTTTATTATCGATCATCGCTCAAACTCAGTAAGCTATTCTCACTTTTTCCTCAACGGTATTCACATGTAGGATATATCATTGTGATGTTATAGAAATTTCATTTGATGCTTCTAAATAAATAGTTGTATATCTTTCGCGTTTAGGAAATGAGTGTTATTACTCGCTTAGGTGAAGTTTTGACGTAACTGCACATTCAGATTGTAAGTGGAAGTTTCACTTAGGAGATTTGTTATTTTTCCCGCCCAGCTCACATTAATTATTCGATATGTGATGAGAAAGAAAAAAAGCCCTCTAAGCTATCCATATTGAATATCAGTCTCACCCTTCCTTCATTCTTTTGCGTTCTCTGAGTGGAACATGCAACTTCAAGCTTGAGCTTTAAAGTTTCAATAGCGGGATGAGGTTTCTTTAGTCGTCTACGTGTAATCCACTTCCCCCCTTACTGCTGGCTAAGCAAAGTTTAGGGCGTACGTTGACCGGGAGTCGAACCTGGACCACGTGTGTGTCTGGTTGACAAGTAGTCCCTACTATTGAACCACCTATGCACTAAATAGATTTTATTTCTTTAACACATGCTGTCTTTTTTGTGTCACTCTACTGAAATTTAATTCTAAATGAACTTTAGGCCTGAAGGTTATCGAATTGATACAGAATCATGGCTTAGATAATTAGTCACTCATTGGTGTGGGGTCAAGGTATTGATTGTCTTTGACTTCTTAATGTACGTTAAAAAGTGCAGTTGCTAAGGTGATATGTCTATGTTATTTTATCTGTTGGACGATAACCTCATTTATGAATAAATAATTGTAATCAACAATGAAACTAAGATTTTTATAACTATTAAACGATTATCGCGCAATATATATATATATATATATAATCTGCTTGTGTGCAGCTTTTTTTCCTGTATATAGCCTGCGAACATTTTGTGACTGTGACATATAAGTATTGTTATCACTATTATTCCCTCGGGTTCCTAGTAGAACATGAAGCTTTAGCAGCACCCGATTTTATCCTGTTCTCTGTGGTTCCACGATTGCTCATAAGTTCTCATCTCCTCATACTATCTCCTCCATTTTCCCTTGGACGTCCAACTCGTGGTTTACCATTCTGTTTTCATTCAGGGGCCTAGCGTATGGTGTCACGCAGTGGTCTCCTCAAGTATGGGTCCTAAATATCTCCATTTCCTTTGGGATATCTGTTGGGCATGGTTGGTTAGTCCCAGAGTTCCTCCCTGCTTATCCTTTCTAACTGGCCATCTGATCTTCAGCATCGAGCAAAAACAAGGCAGCTGTTGATGAAATTATATAGTAGCGTGTTAAGAATGCTTTTCGATGGCTCACCATGTCTTTAAACTATATATTTGGAAGCAATGTGTTGAAAATATGGATCTTGTTCCTTATGCTGGGTAAAGCAGATTTCCACACTGATTTCAGACTAGTAATGGTTTTAGAAAAGAAAAGGCGTTCAGCAAAGAGTTTCTCTTTTCGGCGATATCATTCTCAAGCTGTACAAACCGCAAATTTATAGTAATCTTTCTTGGCAACAAAAGGAATATTTCCAAAGATGTGTTAATGCAATTGCTAATTTTTGACAACAAATTACGTAATTTAGAAGGCGTTAATCGGTTAGAAACTAAAATACAGTTACAAAAGTAGGTTGGGTGACGTAATCTAATTGATAGGGTTCAATGAAAAATGAATGAGAGTTAAGTTGATAAGTTGAGTAGAATTCACTTAAAAATAAACGAAAATGGAGTTAGCAACAGTCGTCATGAGAGTAGAGATTTAATAGAGGGTGGGGGTAGAAAATAATGCAATTAAGAAACAGACAAACTAAGAAGAAAGAGGTAAGACAAAATTACGTATTTGGTGTTAAGATAGATCAGGACCATTGTAGATTTAGTGACTGAACAAACTTCTTTTGTATGCAGAGTTCAGGGTTCAATATGTGAATTGCCATTGCTTCTGCAGTTTGAAGAAGTTTAATTCGTACTCTTTTGGCAAGATTCCCACGTATTGTGTAGATAATTAAGAAGTTGTTTTGTGGGTTTGCTTGGTGTCCGGATTCGATCAAGTGTTCTAGGATAGAGCTGTGGCCGGGGGGATCTTCTTTCTCCTTTGTAAAACCATGAAGGTAAGTGTTCGCTGATTCGTTTGGATAGCAAACGCTGGGTATGGCCGACATACCTAGCTCCACATGAGCTAATGGTTTGCCTTGCTTCTCGATTATCATGTGGGGCACCGCCTGAAACGTCAACTAATCTGCCTAAAAAGTGACTTCAAAATTCTCCCGTCTATGTACACAGCATGGTGATAATCTAGTTTTATCAAGTTTTATAATTCAACTTTCAAACATGACAAATTTTAAAGTGATATCAACAAAAGTTTATATCTGATTCTGTTGTCTTATTCCAATTATTATTATTATTATTATTATTATTATTATTATTATTCATTGTTATTTCAGATCTTAGCACAAGGAATAGCCTCTACTGGTGAAAAGTTTACTGAGTCAGTAGGTAGTTCCGAGAACCAGGAACAGCGATTCAAATCTCCTAGTACATCTAATTTTGAAAGAGATGTTTGGGAGTTTATGATCCGCGTTTTCAGAAATGATCTCACACATAAAGAAGTATGTGCCATTTTTTTATTTTGTGTTGTCGCCGCCTGTTGATATCTTTAGATGTGTATGTATCTGTCTATCATTATTATTATCTCGAATGTCATTTCATATTTTCGCATGGATTACTTTATTTTTTGAACATTCGAATATTATATATATATATATATATATATATATATATATATATATATATATATATAATATTATCACCATCATATTCTTTCAATTAAAATAACAGTTTTTACTTTTGGTAAGCAATAATATTTACAACCACCTTGGAAATACTTTCAGATTTCAAAGCTAGACAAACTTTGAACCATCATAGCCCCCCAAAATCACGGTGATCTTGAACAGCCAATCAGAATTCAGATGCACAAAAGTTTCATAATCGTTGAAGAATACATGAAAAATATTGTAAACTTGATATTACACTGTTGTAAGAATGTCTCCCAGTCAATACACAGATGATCTATAGAGAAATTGTACCATGCACGAGATTCCCAATTCATCTAAGTGACTGTGTGTAGGTCATGGTACTTTGAGATCCATTGGTATTTCCGACACTATTCTTCAACCCACTCCTAACTGTAACCATAATCCTAACTTTAACCCTAAACCCAACCCTAGACACTAAACCTTAATCTTAAAATCCATAACCCTACCTAACAGTATATATTTTCAGAAAAAGTACATAGGAAAGAAGTAGAATACTGCATCTATCCTCTTCAAGTTCCAAGAAAACAGGCATGATTTGATTTGGAATGATATTTCATAGTATTTTCAAGTATTGGTTTTGTAGGGACTTTGTTTCATTGGATGGAGGATTCCATCATGAGCTGGCATCAGTTAGAGAACCATTGGAAAGCTGTTTCGTCCTAGTTTGGGACTCTTCATTAATACGCACTCACGGGGGTTTGAACCCAAGACTAATGAAAAGTCACAAACTAGGACGAAACAGCTGTCCAGTGCTCCCAGGTTTTCCAATGGTTCTCTAACCAATGTCAGCTCATGATGAAATCCTGTAACCAATCAATCAAATCCCTGCAAACCAATACTTGAATATCTTAGTGTAGTTACTGTACTGTGTAGTAGACTGCTTTTATTTCAAGTGTACTATCTATACACATTTGTGGGTTATTTTGGTTAGGACTAATCATCGGCAATTGCACGGATGTACTCACATACCATTTCCTTTAATTTTATTCTTCTAACGCTAGTCCTAATATGGTCTGTAATATCGGTCCAATGTATCCAACGCCTATTCTGAGTACTTTTCGAGTTTGTTCATTGTTCCTGACGTACACACTGCGTATACAAACAAACATACATTCTAAGGAGTGTTCATTCTTGTGCGTTAAAAATTATCCTGCGTTTCCCACTATAATTATTTGCCTGGGTGAACAAACACTTTTAATTAATAGTTTCTCTAGGAAAATACCTAATAATTCATGCATACATGTGCATATTAGGGAAATCTTAAGTACTTCTTAACTCCTTCTGCTTTAGTATTTGTCTAGTTGAGAAGTCGACGTACTGCAACCCCTATCCTCACAGATCGTTAAAAAAAAGCAAATCTGTTTAACTGACGTAGACTGAAGTAAACAGTGCTTCGTAACTCCCTATCTTATTATTTTTTTTAGTTATTTATCATGTATTATAATATTCTATCAACGATGTACTATGCGACATAAAACAAGGCTGACATCGGATTGTACTCTACCAAATTACTCAAACAATGCCAAGCCATTTTTTCTATATGGGTAAGAAACTTGGCGCATCAAGAAAAAGCATTTCCAACGGTTTACACTGCAAACTTTTGTCAACAGTTACCCATCTCGCTGGTTGCATACTGAAGATCAAATGGCCGGAAAGAATCAGCAACGAGAAACTCTCGGAACGAATCAACCAAGAGCCGATTTCTCAAGAAATATGCAGAAGAAAATGGAGATGGATTGGGTTATACGCTGGGTCTTCTTCTTTACTTCGACGATCTCCTACGGGAGGATGAGCCGGCTTCATGAACATCTCGAATCATCGCTGCCCAGGAGCGGCGATCTGATGCAACGTTTTGCGACAGGGTTATCCAATAAGGAGAGTTCATGAAGTTTCATGGGAATTTGGTACGAGTGATGTCCCCAGAATCGCTCGGCCTTTTGTTTGAGAGTGCAGCTCTAGCCTTTACACAAGGCAGTAGGAGTGGAGTAGGGAGTCCACTATCCATTGGCAGCCGGTGACCGGAGTTCGGTTCATACGCCTTTTTGAATGGGGCCAGACATCCAGGGCATCCAACAAGCCCTTTGTCCATACGTCTTCCGGTGAGCTCCAGTGAGCTTCATACGCCAGTCGTTGGAGGTTTGGAATCAGGGTTTAGCCATCTCCCCTAGATTGTCATCCAGTGGGCAGTCAGCCCGGTGAAGAGCACCGGGCATCCGCTTTCGCCCTCTCACTTTGGTGAGAAACACCTCCGCCACGTGAAGGTAGTGAGTAGGACTTCCTCAGGAGAGACTATGAAAGACGCCCGGCCATATGGGAGCATTTCAAGAGGTGTGCGGAGGGGTGGCCAACCCGCAGCGCAAGGCACCCACCCCCAACCATCCTGAGGCTTTGGAGGCCGTCAAACGACATTGCGCCGCAGGCCCTTGAGTGGAATCCAAATGGTGGGTCGTCAGTGGGAGGGTGTCACGGAGGAGATGAGAGATTATGGACAGTCGTGAAGTTAGTCAGTTGCAGAGGACAGCAGGAAATAGAACGAAGTGGAGATGTGTTGTTGAAGCCCTATGTTCCACTCGGAACCCAAGGGAACAATAAAAGTTTTTACTCGTAGATGTTTATTTTATTTGGTTGTTGGTTTTTGTGGCTGAATGAATAGTTACGCATACTAATACATACAAATTTATTGATTTTACAATTCTTCCCTGGAAAAATATAGATATACCGTTTTGTAGATTATAACATGTTTACAACTAACTGCCTTGCTAAGGTTCTCTTGTCAAAAAAATAATTTGTTGTCTAAATGGACTGGGTAATTAAAACTCAATACTTTATTGTTTGTGTCTAGCATACAATATTTCGTTTTTTTTTCAATCAATATAATATTACGCATGTGTAGCGTTGAAAATAATGTATATACATTTGAAATAACACTCTTTTTTTCTTTTTAAAATCTTAGCTCTTCCGTAATACCTTTTCAAGTGACTGCATGCATTCCACCGAACGTTTAGATTCAAGAGTTACACGTAATCATAAAATAAATTGGTCTGTTGGTTCTTATGGAATATTCGTTCGATATCCTAGACGACGGGTGAGTATAAACTCTACATTGTTCATGGGGTTTGATGTGTATGTATATAACTTCACTTACCTTACTTTGTAAACTTTCTTTCTCATTTCATGGAGTATTGTTCGTCGTAGTGTTGTTTCACTCTTCCTGCAGTGGTAAAACATCCGTACAGGGAAGTCTGTCACAGTAATACAGACAAAATCAGGGGGTGATGATGGGGTTCAATCACTGAACATTGAATATTTTTTTGGAACGTGGCAACTCGAACTGCTGCACTTCGGTGCCAAGTTCTGTGTTGAATCCAGACAGACATTTTTCAGAATACCACGAATAAATTTGATTCTGATTAGTTATATAGGCTTCACCCATAGAGATCAATATTTTGAAATAATAGAGAGGATTTATAGATCGGGTGGGTGGTTTCGATATAGGTAGTGTTATCTGAGCTAGTTGATTTTTACTGCGAATGTTTCGCTGTCCTTCTAGTTTGCTCTGTAGATGTTGTCTGGAAGGACAACGAAACCTTTGCAATTAAATCAACCAGCTCAGAAAATACTACCTAATCAAAAGATCAATATTTTATGTTGTTGTTGTTAGATACAAATTAGGTTACTACACAAGACACATATCAATTATAAACACGTGAAAGTAGGATCTAGATAACAACTGGGTTCGAACCCCTTTGGTGGGTACGTACTGATGAAGAGTCCCAAACTGGGACGAATGGTTCTCTAACCGATGTCAGCTCATGATGAAATCCTGTAACCAATGGGGTCGCTGTTGTTTGTTTCTAAGGTCCTCAGTTCAGCTTGGATACATCAATGGATATAATTCTTACTGTTAACCAACTATTGTCATTAGCATAATATGTACCGGCATCTTTTGCCTGTATGTGGTGAAAAGTATGAAACTGTTTAATGCTAAGTGATTATCAAAAAAATATTTCACCTTGTATTCCTGTTTCATGTGCAGCGAATGTATTTACGTGTAATATTTAGGACTGCATTCTTGTTAAGACGAGTGAGCTTCCTTGCTAGCAATGAAGTTGATATTTGTGCATGTACTAACACAGATAATCTTATTGAACAGTTTAGATTCGTTTATTTATGGTTTAATTTACTAAAATCTTATAAATATGATATACACCGCGTATTTTGTCTAATAAATGCTGCAGTTGTTATCGTACCGATCATCGTTTCTCCTTCCAGTCTGACTATTTTGTCTTTTCCAAAAGGAGAGATATTTTAGTGTTGTCGTGTCGGAGGCTGGGTCTGAAAGTGGGCTCATTATAGTCAAATCAGACCCCCCGCCATAACACTTCGTATGCATAACAATTCTTTATAAGTGTGTGACTGAACTCTAGTAGGAGTTCTAACCAAAATAATATATATATATATATATATATGTTGGTATTAGATGGTTGGAGGCAATCGGCAGGAAGCCTTGGACCTAGGTTTCGTGCTAGTTGACACTCATCAGCAAGGCGTATCTGCAACCTTGAAGGAACTGATGTCCCTTCTCAGATTCGAACCCGCGTCACCCAGTACTGCACTCAGGGACGTTACCACTGAACTATTCAGGCTAGGGATTGACCTCCTGTAGGACTGTATTGGATATTTTTGATTGCACATTACACTAGTTACTGACTAGTGTGCAATCAAATGTATATATATATATATATATATATATATGCATATTAAACTTAACTGAATCCATAAGTAGTAGTCATACATTTAAACTACTTTTTGTTTCTATAATATTTTTTTTCTTCTGAAAATTCAAGACTTGTCGAAGTTATCCCGTAGAAAAATGGCATAAATTTCATGCTGATTGGTTAGCAAAGCATATTGGCGGCTCTGATAACAATGATGATGATGATGATGATGTTGTCCAGCACAAAGAGGAGGAGCATGAGGAGGCGGCGGCGGCGGAGGAGAATGAAACATTGAATCCAGACGATGGAGGAATACAACACTCTGAAGCGCAAAAATCGAATGACAACGTTATCGAGTCAGAGAAATCACAGAAAAAAGAATCATTGACTGTAGAGGTGAATAATGATAATAATCTGATCAGTGGTGGTGCTGAAGTTGGTCAAAGTTCCTCAACTTGTGAAGAAGAAGAAGAAGAAGAGGAAGAGGGGGAAGAGGAAGGCGAAGAAGACGATGACGATGATGGTGAGAGGGAGGACGAGGAGGAGGAGGATGAAGACGATGATGGTGATGATGATGAAGAAGAAGAAGGACAAAGAAATCTCATTGTAGATGCAACTACAACAACTCCCGTGGAATCAGATACTTCATTTTCTTCTTGATAAATTGTCTTCATGATAGGCTGTGTATATATATGTATGTTTTCTTTTCCTTGTTTATTTTTTGTCATTATTGAATTTTATTACGTGATATGTATGCGTGTGTACATAAATTAATATCAATGCATATATACTTATGTATGATGACTATGACACCCCTTACTTTTATGTTATATGTACTTGACGCAATCTATGGGGGTGTGTGTATGTGTGTACCTTATTTGTTTATTTGTCACACAATAATTCTATTTTCATTTAATGCAGTTATCATTGTTATTATTATTGTTATTTGACACGATTTTTATACATACACACTGACTTGCTAATTTCAGCTTGAAAGTTAGTTTTTTCTTTTCTTTTTGTTTTGTTTTGTTTTCTTTTTATTTATTTCTTTGGTATTTTATTTTGCTTTATGATACACTTGAAAGCTACTCACACCACCTGTTGTATATGTACACATTATTATTGTTATTTATCTGACTGACAGATGTATATGTATAAACTTACCTACCTACCAGCCTACCTACCTACCTACCAACTGACCGACGGACCTACCAATCATCCCTCGTTTTCTCTCTCCCTCCCTCCTGCATTAATATACTTGTTTGTATAAGATTTTAATATATCCTCTAACCCTTTGTTTTAACACATTATCATTATTATTATTATTCGTTCAAGTATGTGTTGTAATAATAATAATAATATTATTATTAATATCCCTACCGTTATTATTATTATTATCATTACTATTATTTCCTATCTTCAATATGTGCATGTATGCATGCATACTACTTACAAATGGATATATGACAAATGTTGCAGCTAAATAATGATAATGCTGATATAATAATAATAATACTGATGATAATCTTTTTCTGTGTATCTGTAGTGTGTGTGTGAGTGCGTTGTTTGGCGGCTATCTTATCCTATCCTATCCTATCCCCTCCATCCGTCTATCACGTCTGAATCCTTCTGTTTTTACTGTTATTATTATTATTTTATTTTAGAGATTATTGTGCATAATTTAGTTTTTTTTATTCATATTTGCGAAGTAACACTTCTTCAGCCTTCTTTTGTTTGTTTGTTTTTTTGTTTCTCTTCTTCCTAATTTTATATATTAGTTATCTAACTGTATTCATTATTAATTAATTAATTAATTGTGACGCAATCTGTTGTTCAATGTTTTATTCTCATTAGTTTATGTATGTACGCATGCATGCATGTCGGTTGTTTGGTTGGTTGGTTATTTAGCCAACTGACGACTGCCTGCCTGCCTGCTTACACCTGCCTACCTACCTACCTTACCTTACCTTACCTACTTACAGTGTGTATAAAGTTTTTTCTTTACTACCAATTGATGAATTTGTTTAGTTTAATCAATTTTTTTTACTTGTTCTTGCTTATTATTACAATTGAATATTTATGCCGATTTGATGTGAAGGGGGATTTGCCTGCTTATAAAAGTTACGTCATGGACTAGGCTTTATAGTTTTAGGTAGGAAACCAGGGTGTTACTGGACTGGACAACTACTGTTTAAGACCTAAATCAAATTGTGGTTAGCGTAGCTCTCTTGACTACTATCATTTATAGTAACCAAGCTGATCATATGGATATATTGTGATGATCAGAATCAGAATGAAGCCTATCACTGAGTGGAGTCTAAATGGTTTAATTTAATGCCTAAAACTAATAATGCTAGTAGAATATATGGTACTATTAAAATACGTAAACCAGGTTACCCCATACGACCAATAGTATATTTCAGAAACACCCGTACTTATGAATTATCAAAACACTTAGCTCTAATATTATGTCCCGTTAGAAATAGTTCAAACTGTAGACTAACCAATTCATATAAAATGATGAAAAAGAAACTAAATAACATTCAACTAGAGAATAATGAAACAATGGTTAGTTTTGATGTAACTAGTCTTTACATTGATATACCAATCAATATGGCCTTAGAAGCAGTTAAGAGAGAACTAACTGCAGACCCTGAACTCATATATTGGACGAAGCTACCCATTGAAGAAATTATTTTAGGAATTTGGTCATACCTCACATCTACTATCTTCGAATTTCAGGGTAAAATATGCAGACAAACAGAAGGTGTAGCGATGGCATCAACAATATCCCCTATAGTAGCAGATATCTTGATGGACAGCTGGGGGAATGTTGCACTTTAATCCTAGTCGAAAAACGTGGTGGAGATATGTGGGTGACACTTTTGCACAGTGTTAAAAACAGAACAAATCTCTAGCTTCTTGACACATATTAACTCACTAGTAAAGGGAATGAAATTCACATTTGAATGGGAAAATGAACAAGGAGAATTAGCTTTGGTAGATCGGGGGTAGTCAGATTGTTGGAACATAGGAATTTAGCTAAGGTGAGAAAGCTGATACCAGGAAGATAAGTAATTTAGAAAACAGCACTGCATGCATTAACACAACCACACAATAGGATGAGAGAGGGTTAAAATTCTAAAAAGTAATCTAGGTAGTTGGAGGGAGAGAGTGATTACTAAATCCTTGTTCATCGAATTTACACCCAAAACATGGAATAGGAATGACTCATCACTCATACCAGAAATATGGAAAATACTATTACTGCCAATCAAGTCAAGCGATGAGAAATAATGGAGTTATATAAAGGAAGTTAGAAAGTTGTGTGAATACCTTGATATGATTATGAGCAATGAATTGTGCTCGAAACATGGTCATCAGTAAATACTACTGTATAACACTGTGTGATTTTATCAAAATAATTAATTCATCAAAAATTAAAGTTAGAATGGTTGGTCCTGCAGAGATAAGTAATATTTAGAAAAAAGCTTAGCTATTGGCATTGCATGATCGGTGTCCTTTGGAAACTACGGCGAAATTTCATCACTCAAAAACCGTGCAGATTGTGAATTTGATTTTTATGGTATAAGAAGTTCATCTAAGTAGCTAGCCAGAAATCGGGTAATTTGAACTGCTTCGGTTCTCTTATATAAATCAAACCTTCTATACAGTGTCGATGAACTTGGCGCTAAAATGAGCCAAACGTCCACCAATCCGGTGTTTAGACCACTTCGATCTGACTGGTCAGCAAACACTCCTGGTTGATATGATGAGTGGTATACAACAATAACAACTATCACTACAACTCATCTCAACCCATCAGTAGTATATAGTTTTCTGTTTAAAACTGGTTTGGAATTGGTCAGATTCTAGACCAACTTTTTTTTTCCTTCACGTTCTCCAGTGGAACATAGGGCTTCAAGCTGGTCGCTTGAAGTTTCTGTAGCAGTGTTTATTTTACAGGATGGGGTTGCTAGCCTCATGCCCAACCTTTCCTCTTCACCAGCATTATTTCTGGCTTAGCGAGGTAAAGGAGTGCGTCGGCCGGCGATCGAACTCCGGACCATGTACATGGTCGGCGAGCGTCCTATGTATATATATATATATGATCATATATTTACGTCTGTATTGGTCATATATATACATTCACTGTGTTAAATTCTGAACGTATCCCTAGGTTACTCACACTTATAAACTCAGTTGTATATGGAATCCAGTTTAGCTTTGAGTTAGAAAACGAAGAAGGCGAGTTAACCGTGGTAGACCATAAAATAAAACGAGAAGAAAATGGAAAAACAACCCGTTCTCTAATAAATACTTAGACTTTAGTTTATCTCACCCAGAATCGGTAAAGGTGGTGACTGGTGACTGGCCCTATTCAGGTAGGTAGTTCTAGTGGGAAGTCGTGACCAGTAGGATAAAGCAGGTCGGGCGTGAGAACAAATACTCGCCGCGGATGACATTGGCTAGTGGTCGGGCTATTTCGTGAATTGTCAGAAGTTAGAATTCATGGGCTGGCCAACGGATCGGGTCCCAATGGATTAACGGTTCTCTACGAGCTAGCTAACCTTGTAACCAGAAGTTCCTGGGTTCGAACCTCGTGGTGTGGGTGCATACTGTGAAGAGTCCCAAACTAGTGGGACGAAACAGCTGTCCGGTACTCCCAGGTTTTCCAATGGTTCTCTACCTGATTTCACAGTTCATAATGAAATCCTGTAACCAATGAATGGTTATCAGGTCAGAAGCCTAACTAATAGGTGTAAAGATGTATACATAATGAAATCAGACAAAAAATTACTAGTGAATAACTACCCATCAGATTCTATTCAAAAATGTATGAAGACAAAGAAATTAGGATTAGTAATGGAAATCTTATATCTAATAAGGAATTTAAAGCTTCGATTGTACTACCCGACATAAAGAAGGGAAATCAAAAGTCCTATGTAGAACTCTTTATTGGGGTGGTATTTAAGCCAACTAACTCTCTCAGAGATCTACTTTATAGTCTTAAGGAACCTATAGATCCATTGAAAAAAAATATCTAGTATAATTTACCAAATACCATGTAATGACGGTAAGGTCAATTAAATAGGTCAAACTAGTAAGGTCGGTGTGAATTAGATTATTGCAATATAGAAAATTCAGCTAGACCTAGAATGATTGACCTAGAAAAAAAGCTCGGTCATTGCAATGCATTCACTTGCGTGTAGTCACACAATAGGGTGGGGCAGGGTGAAAGTATTAAATAGTAATATAGAATTAGGTGGAGAGAGAGAGGTTAGTCACTGAGTCAGTAACGCACATGTGAAATCGTAATGTCGCAACGCCTATGCCGGATATGTAGAAACTTACAATGAACAAGGAGGGGGGGGGGGGGGGAATATAAAGCGAATTATGAAGCCGTATGAATTTATTGGTATGATTATGAGCAACCGCCAGCCAATGTCATTCGTGAGTAGTTGTCCTTACACCCAATTTGGTCGACCCCATTAGCCATAAATTCTCGCTAGAACTTCAGGTAAATTTATCCTGTAGTCAGTTACTAGTGTTCATCAGATTAATTTTCAAATGTTGATTTGAAAGAACTAGGTTGATTTCAAGTTGTTAATCACGAAGGTCATTGGTTCGATTCTCTGTAGGGTCATGTTTGTGTGCTGCTGATGAGTCCCAAACAACAGGGAAAATAAGTTATTCAGTACTCCCTGTATTTCAGTGGTTCTCCCAATATAGTTGTAACGACAGAAGACAAGGGCCAGGCAACAGAGCGTTTATTCAGAAAATCAAGAGACATTTATAGATTTTTATGTATTTTATTATTCGTTATTGTTAGCAGAGAAGCAACGTTTTCTGATTGGTTGTTTTCTTGCTAAAGGTTATTCTGTCATCTCTTTGTTGCAGTTTCTTAGACAGTCCGTTGATATATCTGCGAATCGTATTCGCCCACGCAAAGTCTGCTGTGATTGGTTGTTGACTTCCTAAAGGTTAGGCTTTGTTCTTGTTTTTTCTCATGACCAATAATATTTGGGACGTAAACATTGATGTAAATTGCTGCCTACCAATTTTGGCTAGCAGACAGCTCTCACCACAAAGTTATTTCGTGATCTAACTTATACCATATATAGTTCGTGACATGACAGTTGCCCAGCCCCCGTATGAACATCATCGTTAACTTATGAAACACTAAATATTTATCGTCTGATGACTGACTGACTGGTTTCAACATAGAACTTTGCACCGATGTGCAGCAGTTCGAGTAGCCACACTTCACTCAGCACACAAAGCCAGAAAAGAAAGTAAAACGGAATGCAAAATAGAGACACTAAACAGAGATATGAGGCAAAAAGAATAGTAATATCGAAGAACAACATAGTTTTATTGGATATTATAATTCACAAGGAGTGGATGCATCTGCGCCATTGACAACGACTTTAAGCCATATCACCAATTGTCTCCAGCTGTCATTGGTTTTTCCCGCCCCGAAGACCCCAACCAGGAAGACAGTCTACACCTTCCTACGTGGCTTAAACTAACTGTTGTGGATTTCATTGACTGATCGTCTGATGAGACGACTCACCTGTAAAGTGTAGGTACAAAGCTGTGGTGGATTAGCATATTTGCGAAAGTTGATATCGTCATTTGCAGACAGAGAGAAAAAATAAGCCTTTGAAACCCTCTGACAGCACCTTTTCAACTCTCACCATTGTTACTTATTACCGTATGATTGAAATTTAAAAATATGCAATCAGGAGTTAGTTTGAATACGCAGGTTTTAACCGACTGATGATTCAGTAATTTGATCATAGTGATAACTGTAAATATTAAATTTCCCGTAGAAGATTACAGTCAATAGTATCCTAGTGTTCGGATAAATCAGCCATTATATTCCATCCAAATGGCTGAATGGGCAACGGGCTAACCTCGTAACCTGAATTTCCCAAGTTCGATTCCCATTGGGGCTGCGTTCCGACACAGCCTGCTTTTTAATAGCTCTCTCTATCTGATGTTAATCCCTGATCAAATTAGGAACGGATCAAATCCTTGCACACTGATACATTTGGCATATATTTTTTAATCGGGATTGAAATGTCGCTTCCAAAATGAATCAAGCTTATTTCACCATCAGTTTTTGGTTGCTGTTAGTCAACATATAAAAAGAGGTATAAGGAAATAAGCG